CTAGAAGCAGAAACTTTATACCCTCATACCTTCTCTGTTGCAGTGAGAGGCTTGATCACTGGTAGGAGCCTGTTCATCTCGCTAAAGAGCTTCCTCGAGGCTTTGAGTTGGAACCTCTATTAGCCATTTTGGTATGTCTACCTAGTTGTCCTTCCACCTTCACAAGGAGGCGCTTAGCCGGATGGCGGCAGGGGGTAGGTAGATGTTTGTATAAGAATCACGTGAGAACGGCTGGTAAAGAGTGTGCTTATGATAAAGGTGCTTGCTTGGGAAGGTGTTTGGAGAGGTGCTTAGAGAGGTCTCGCTGCGTTATTTTAAGGTCTCTCAGAGATATATTCGGAAATCTTGACCCAAGGTGCTTGCTCGATCATTCGAGTTGAAAGTCCAGGTCCACCAAGGGCGCATTGTGAGAGCGAGTCATCCGCCGGTTAGGCCTTCGTTACCTGCCACAAGTCCACTGATATTAATACCAGCCCGTTCGACTCCAATCGGTTTCTACACCTTGTACCCAAGATATTAGTCCATAGCTTAGCCCAACGCAGAGGGCAATTGAGGTTATAAGGATCAAGAGCAATTGAATATGACTGAAGTTTCGACCCAACTCATAGCAGACTTCCCACATCCTGCATGAGGCAGCCGTGTTGGAAAGCAATTCTCCCCAATTTCGACTGCGTACTACAACCATAGGCTTCTTCGTGAATACTGTACTGTACATAGACCATTCATGAGCTTTCCGGATTGCCATCCCCTCCCCGAAAAATCGGCCCTCAGCTCCTCCTCTTCCTTTGGTCCACCACATTTAGTGGGATAAAGAAAAAGGGGGGAAACAACACTTGAACAGCGATTGGAGCTGTATATCAACCCGAAAAAAGAACTCAACTCCACGGGAACTCGTACTAGTACGACAGGGATAGACCCGGGCTTGCCGAAAAGGCCGCGACAGCAACACGAACTATTCATCGGTTCTCCTCGCTTCAGAATTCCGAGATGGAAATCGCGTGACTGCCGCACGCGAAAGAGCGAGGCTTTTCACGATTGAAAGATATTCACCCGATCGTGGTTCGCGGGCGATGCAGAACTGAAGCTAATCAGGGATCTCGTGCTCCTCGCCTAACTACTGACTAGGTGGCACTGTTGTGGAGATGCATTGCAGGGGGTTAGTGTGGCGAGCCACCTGCTTGTGGTACTACTCAGTAACTACCTAGTCTAGGTGTTGCCCATTCGCTGTGATCATCGGTATGAATTACGGGATCTGTCGGATTGGTCTTTGGAGAAGGGCTCGCGCTGATAAGTGGGTATGGGATACGGTGTGATGTGCCTGGAGAGGGCTGGCTGCTGCAGGCTGTATCCGGGACTTCCGGAGAGTAGTAGGCTCTAAGAGCAGTAGAGTCGAGTGAATGGCCAATGGCGTCCTGCTCGTTCAAATAGTCCCTTTCGTCGACAAACAACCATATCTAAGGGTGTCACGGACTCGCGAGGAATTTTCTAGCCCCATGTTGTCTGAGATGGTCCAAGGAACCGGGCCAGGCTTACTTCGGTTCAGCCAACGACACGCGGTGGGCGGGCGCCCCGCTCGTTCAATAGCCACCTTTAGCCCGAGCCCTAGACTACCTAAGAGCTGTCGGCAAACCGATCGACGGTAAATGTCAATTGAACTCTGACTGTTCAGGGTATGCTTAGACTTTTGCACTTACTTTTGCTGGCGGCATGGTCGGATAACCCTACAGGATACTGATCTTGAACAGAACGATGTGTGCAATTTTGAAGGTGAAATCATATCAGATACACATTCACTAGGTTCCAGAGCCTCCAATCCAGCAGAGATCAGCAATCCCAATTCCCCGACCCAAGGGTTTTTGTCCCTGAACCAAACTTGAAGCTAGTCTCAAAGAAGCTTAACCCGACCCGGTTCTTCAGGTTTCTTCAGCTCGGGATATCCGAGCAAGCCGATTCCAACGTCATAACCAGCCCTGATTCCCTCGCGATACGTCGGATACTGTTACCTGATATTTCCCCTTTCTGACCTTGGAAGCGGATCCTACCTGCAATGGTGCCTGCCAAGAGGTCGAGACCTGGGCAGTACAGGGATTTCCCACGTGGTGGTCTGCAGGGCAATTGACCACGGGAAAGACTTGCACAATGCAGACCTCTACTGCACCATTTTTTTTGGAAGGTCTCCGTCAAGTATAAAAGCAGTCCTGATCCCATCTCTGGGGGAGAACCAAGCTTCGCGTACACTCGTTTAAAACGCTCGCTCCGGCCGAACAGGGCCCATTACTGTCACTCTTTCTGATTTTCTTTATTTACTGTCGTTCTTTACATACAGTCATTCTTTTCAATCGAACAGTATGCGTTTCGCTCCTCTTGCAGCGACCGTCGCGTCCCTGGGCGTGGCCAGTGCTGCGGCTATCAAGCCCAAGGACACTGCTCTGCGGGCTCGCGATACCTGCTCGGATGTCGAGTTCACCGGCGAGGTCTTGCACCTCTCCTTGAACATCATCGAATACCCTGTTGTGGTTGATGTTCAGCTCGAGGAGGATGCTATCATCACCGTTGACAACACCATTCTCATCGAGGCTACAAATGCGCCCACTCACCTGCACACTACCGTGATGGCTACTTCGACTTCTACTGTCACCAAGACGATTTCCACGGCTACCATTACTGCTGCTGCTGCTGGCGAGGCTACTGCTGGCTCTGGCTCTGGCTCTTCTGGCTCTTCTTCCGGCTCTGGATCGTCTGGAATTGTTGCTGGCTCTGGCTCCTCCAACTCCGGCTCCGGCTCTACTGGCTCTTCTTCCGGCTCTGGATCGTCTGGAGTTGTTGCTGGCTCTGGCTCCTCTGGCTCCTCTGGCTCCGGCTCCGGCTCTGGTTCCTCCAACAATGGATCTCCGGTTGTCGTGACCAAGATCAACCCTAAGACCACTAACACCCGCCTCATGTAAGTCCACTCACTCCTCTACATCGGCACTGCTAATTTCCTCCAGTCATCCTCAAGTAACCGGCTCCAAGAGCCTTGCCCCCGTCGCCGGCGGTTCTGCCGTTGGCTCGGGAGTCAACACCGCGCTCTACACAGCCTCGACCTCCAACACTCTGGTTGGCACCAAGACGACGACCATCCGCGGCGCCTCCACCACCGCGACCCGGACCTACACCACGACGCTGGCCTCGATCACCGCCACCCAAGCTGCGGGCGAGTTCACCGACTGGAGGAAGTTCAAGGCCAACGGCGTGAACCTGGGCGGCTGGCTGGAGCAGGAACAGGTCTTCGACCAGGTGTGGTGGGACTCGTACGCTCCCAATGCGACCGACGAATGGACCTTCTGCAAGACCCTGGGCTCGCAGTGCGGGCCAGTCCTCGAGGAGCGCTATGCCACCTACATTACCACCGACGACATTGACCGCGTCGCCGCAGTCGGTACGTATTTTCCTCTTGCTTTCATCTCCGACTCCCGCTCCTACATCTCAACCAATACTAACCCACTGACAAAAGGCGTCAACACCCTCCGCATCCCGACCACCTACGCGGCCTGGATCCAGGTCCCCGGCTCGCAGCTCTACCACGGCAACCAGCAGACCTACCTCCGGAACATCGCGACCTACGCGATCGAGAAATACAACATGCGGGTGATCATCGGGCTGCACTCGCTCCCTGGGGGCGTGAACAGCCTGGACATCGGCGAAGCCGCGGGGCACGACGGGTGGTTCTTCAACACGACGAACCTGCAGTATAGCTACAGCGCGGTCAGCGCGGTGGTGGACTTCATCGCCAGCACGGGCACGAACGCGTGGGCGTTCACCCTGGCCCCGCTCAACGAGGCCTCGGACAACCCGGCGGGCTTCGCCAGCCCGGAGACGCTCACGGACAACGGCACCGCGTGGATCGTGCAGTACACGAAGGGGGTGCTGGAGCGGATCGCGGCCAGCGCCGTGCCGGACGTCCCCGTCATGCTCCAGGACTGCTTCCTGGGCGAGGAGCACTGGTCCGGCCACTTCGACGCGGCCGCCAACCTGGTCTTCGACACCCACGTCTACTACTTCGCCGCCTCCGGCGTGTACTCGCAGTGGGCGCAGGGCGCCATCTGCGGCCAGGCCAGCGTGCTCGGCGGCGACGGCAAGTTCCCCGTCTTCGTGGGCGAGTGGGCCCTCCAGACCCTCTACAGCAACACCTACGCCAACCGCCGCACCCTCTTCGAGACCCAGCGCTACGCCTGGTCCTACTATGTCCAGGGCGGCAGCTTCTGGAACATCAAGCACAAGTCCACCGCCAAGGTCGATGGGCAGGGCACCCAGCAGGACTACTGGAGTTACGAGCTGTTGTTGGATGAGGGGGTCATCGGGCCTATCAAGAGCAATGCCACTTATTGCTAGATGATTGGATTGGGGAGTACCGGTGGTAGTTGTTCAGGGGAAGGATATATTAATATACTAGATTAATGAGACCAATAGAATTATGACTTGGCTAGAAATGTGTACAGAGAGTAGAGTGTAGAGAGAAACTTATCCGCACCCGACTAAACTGAATTCATACTGCGACTCAACTTATACAGCTCGATAACTACGATCAGACACTAAAGGGCTCATTATAGCTTGGCTGGTCAAGTGTAGAGAACTAATCTCGACACCGGAAACTCCTTCATCATACTACAAATCAACATCAACCTTACAACACAACGACTACAATTGAGAAACCATAGTCTCTGACAAGAGAAGAAGAGACAGAACCAGCTGATGGCTGAAAATTGCTAAACATAGGTTTTATACCTAATAAAGTAGAAACTGGTAAGTCACAGACTTTTCCCACCCCCCAAAACCCTCAAGAGCGTTGCATCATACATCGTAAATCCTGTTATCAGTCGTCGCAGCATTGAAGAATAAACCATTACGATTGCGGACCAGCCCACAACAGCACCACCGCACTACTGCACCTGCACTCTGCTGCGAAAATGTTTACTAGGGAAATTCGTTGCAGACGATCTGTTTGTTTTTCTGTTTTGTGTTCATCCAAGAATCAGTCTATCGATTCTCCCCACTGTCTGATAGAGGTAGAGATAGAGGGAGAAGAGAGGAAGACTCACATCAAGAGGGAAGTTACTCTTGCACTTATACTTATACTGGCCACCGGGGCACGAGGTGGTTTGCACGCAGTCAATCCCCACCCCGGCAACCTTAATCCACAGAATGACCCAGTCCTTGGTGTCAATCTTTTGTTTGCAGCAGTACGGCTTCTGGATTCCGAACTGCCGTTCTTCGAGGTCCCGTTCCTCGAAACCCTCGACGTCTGGGTTCGGGGTAGGGGAGGTCAGCCCCAGGCTGGCGAGGGCGAGCACGCCGAAGATGGTTTTGAGCTGCATGTTGTGCAATAGTCGAGCAATGGAAGATGATTTGCCAGATGTAAGTTAGTGTGATGTAGTTAGTTATCTTGGGCTAATTCTTCAAGCTGTGATGAGCGAGGAAATATCTGAGAGATCCACACCCTTCTTATACACAACCCACCAACCCAAGAGCAAAACCCCTCACCCTCTACCCATCCTCCTCCATCTCCTCTCAAAATCAATACGAATCGACCTCCAGCCCAAGCCCATGGGACCCAAGCCCCAAGGACAGCAAGAAAAATCCAGCAAGTCATCTGCTCAACCCTGCACCCATGGCCCAAATCCTCTTTCTTCCCTTACTAGCCCCCATCGATCACAGGAACCACCCCCAGCTGCAGATCCACACGAATCCCATCGTGGGTGGAATCGGTGCCAGAATCGTGGTAGAGGGAACCTAAATACGAGCCCCCCCCCGGTCGATCCATCGGTTCCTCCACCCGAGAGATCGGGCTGGTCGCCGTCATTCAAGATCTGAACCACGGACTCCATTACGAAGGGTGCACCTTGGACCTGGCCACACTGCATACTGCAGGTGGGTTTGTTTGTTTGCCCGCTCTAGATAATAGTCACGGGTTATCGAACTATGGGTTTGGAGGCGTTCGAGCGGAGGAAGAGGAAGTTTAAATGGGCGGCGGTGGGCGGCGGATATCTCTCCCGCCGAATTATTCTCCTGGGTTCGTTTCGTATGTTGGACTGAGAACTGGAGAAGGGTTAGATGGTGATGCTTAGACCCTTTTTGTCTCTTTCTGCCTGGTTTCTTGTGGGGTGTTGGAGCTTTGCTACGCCGGGTTTGTTTTGCGGGAGTGACGGATGCGTGTTAAGTTGAGTGGTATCACCCATCTAAAGTATTTGCGAGTTTTGGCGGAGTCAACTTGAGAAAAGAATAGCTCAATTTATCAGACTGGATTTACGACTCCCGGTGCCGTGCTTGGTCCAAGCACAATTACAGGCTTGAGGGGCTGAGCATCATGCCTCACACCAACCGCGAGGGTTCACCTTGGCCTTGGAGCCGAGCGAGCCAAACCCACTCCCAAGGTTGAGGCCGTAATCCCTCAACTCCAACGACGGCAGATGAATCCATCGACCGGGGGGGATCTAAGTCCCAGTGATCAGTTCGAGATTCGATCCCACCCCTCTAATCCGGGAGCAGTCTATTCCCTCCCTCAATCATCTCGAGGTGAACCGTTGCTTCACTGGCCACTAGAACGAAACCAGATCGTTGGAGCGACCTAATCTTAGGGGTAGTGGCATCTGCACCCTTGTGGGGTAGCTGGTTCATGGCTGGAATTGACTTCTTCGGGGTTATGAATATGGGGTTTATTTGCTAGTGGCGGCGGGGTAAGTGCTATGCCATGCATGGCACGAGATTCTAGGGATGGGTGGGTGGGAGATCGCCGTGCAGGAAAGAAGCCTGAGGTGGCTTTAGGTTTCCACGCGCAGAAGTTGTGGGGTACTCTGTGCGAGCACGGCTGGGTCTTGATTGGATATTCTATGCTGCAGGGTCAAGGGTGGGTAGCTGGAGGGATTGTATGAGTGAAGCAAGACGAAGGGATGGATGTGTAGATAAAATGCTATGCGTATCTCTGGCACGCTATAGTGCCCATAACAGTGGCATTCTTGCTACCTGACACCAGGTCTATCGCACAAATCATACCAAACATGTCAACTCCTGCTACCCTATTACCGCACTGAACACCCCCAATGTAAAAGCACGATGGAGGCCGACGTGTCGCTGGCCCCACATCTCCCTCAGGTATCGCTCCGCGCAGCGGTTGAACTCCCGTCCGCGGGCATCGATCAGGGCCGGTTTCACGCTCCAGCTGCGCACGCGTCGCTTGCAGTCACAGTCCTGACAGCCGAGGTCGGGGACGTTCTTCCAGGCCTTCCAGTAGTTGTCCAGCGGGTCGGAGTAATGGCACTTCCTGGCTGCGCCGCAGTCCGCGCCCTTCACGTCTAGCTCGCAGCATTCGTTCTGAGGGTCCAGAAACAATTTCGCCAGGGACCGCGGGGGCTGCTTCAGAATGAACCACGAGATGACGCTGTATTCGTTCCGTGCGTCCCGGTGCCAGTCCTTCGGGCCGTGGCGCAGGAGCATGCGTTCCATCAGCTCCCGCAACATCCGCAGCGCCGCGTGGAAGTCGATCTCGGTCTGTTCGTCGAGCCAGCCGCGGAATTCCAGCCGGCGTCTGCCCACGTCCGCTTCCACATAGCCCCACTTCAACACGGTATACACATGGTTGGTGTATTCTTCGAACGTCACCATCTTTCGTCTCTGCGGCGGAAGCTCGTCGTACTCGTCTAGCATCTTTCCGAGAACGAACAGCCGCCCGCTGACCACTGGCGCCAGGGGCTTCTTCGGCGGCATGAGCCTCTCCGTATCCCGAGCGATATCGGCCATCTGAAACAGAACGTGTAAGCCCCGTTCCAGCCGTTGCGCCAGCCGTAGTTCTGCCTCGAAATTCATCTCTGTGTTGTCCTCCTCGCAGAAAGGGCCCCATACGGCGGGCACAAGATGTCGTGATAAGTCTCGGGTGATGCTATGCCGATGGAGAAACCGGACCAGAGTGTGAATCGTCAACGGGGTCTGCTCCCCGGTCCACGGGCTCATGGTGAGGATGGGATCGAAGGTGTCAATGCCATGGCATCGCATGAACCAGGTGCAGATATGCGGCTCGAGGATCTTGATGGTCTCATAAGTGGCCTTGTTCAGCCGGCAGAGACTGAGTATCGTGGTCACCTCGCCGCTGATGATGATGTGAAAGAGGACATCGGCTACAAAGCCGAAGGGAAGAGGTGCTCCCCGCCGCAGAGATGGGGATAGCATCTGTTTGACGAGGCGAATCAGCGTGGGGGATCTCCCTCGCACCTGCGGAGTGGGTGCTTGGCTGCGTATGGTCTTTCGGCGGAAGATCATCCCGACTTACCGTAGCAACTGCTTGCTGCTAACCTGGACCATCCAAGCCTTTCCGAATCTAGGCGAGAGGGAGTGACATTGGGTTCTTTATAAAAGGACTACTCAGGGCCGTTGTGGGGGGAAAAGAGGCTGTTTGCCCAGGCTGTAAGGGGGGTTAATTGCCGTTTGGCGGATAACAAAGCGTCGACGGTGTGACGCGTTGGCAGATTATCAGTCGTGTGCTTGGCTGCAGCGATGCATCCGGAAAAGGCTGAGTAGACAGGGTGCAGGATGCAATCGCCGAACGACCGTAAGCTGACTGGTCAGCTTGGAAACTTATATAATACGTGGTCCCATGTCCGGTGCGGTCATCGCAGGAGCGATAGTGAGGGCCAGAAGTAAAGATCGACCACGTTTCACGCGAAATGCGAACAAGGAGAAGGGGCTGCCAGCACGGTCTATCGGTCTTCATGTTAAGACACACGTAGCACAATAATCCGTTCCCAACTAGTGTCTGTTCTGATGTAATAGCATGACACGCCTGGGGAAATAATCAAGCCCGTCTGATCATGGGATCGGCGGTGTCGCTGATAGTGGCTTCAATAGCGCCAGGGGAACCGAGGGGGGAAGATCCGACATCGTCACGCGAGGAAGTCCGTCACGTATCGAGAACGAGACCATTTCGACTCTTCAAGTTGCAAGACAAGCTTGTAACGTCAGCGATAGTTTGGAAGAATGAATAAACGAATGAATGATGAATGAACAGGTGGGTGGGTGGGTGGGTGGATTGGATGAATTGCCGTGGGAGCATCTCCATTCTCCATTCTCCACACTACGGAGTTATCGACAATTGTTTATCGGTGGAGCCGGCCGCGGCTAAACCCAATCCGCTCAACCCCCTTCTCCCCCGCCTCTCTTTGGCTCTCTATCGGTCGGCCACGAAAAATTTCTGGGACGATAACAGATTGTCAGCTTCGCATCAACAACAACCTCCCCACCTCCCTACCTTCCTCTCTCCCTCGACGCCCAACATTAGTTCTCGAGTCAAGTCACAGTCATACTCGATTGGATTTTCTCCAACCAGCAAACTTCGTCAGGGTCTGCCGACCTCCGTCTGATGCCATTCCGCATATCGATCCTAGTCGCGCTTAACGCATGATTTTCTCCAAGCCCCTCCCACTCGCCGACGAGTGGACAGATCCGGATGCCTACGTTGAGGCCTTGATTTCCTTCGCTACGAACTCTGACATCTTTAGGCACCTCTGCGGCGGAGTGCATATCCTTGACTTCCTGACACGAGAGCCGGACCTTTATACCTCCCTGCTACCGGAAAATTGGCGGACCTTCTTCGATCAGCATGATGTCCAGGACATTCTAGACTTGCTCCTTCGCGACGATCTACAGCCCCTCTTTGACCAACATGCCGGAACGGGCAGTGAACTGGATGCGGACGCAAGAGGGTGGCGAGGCGGTAGTCTGCCCCCGCTGGATTTCCTGGAGTACATTCACCAGATCCGGCGCCTGAGCCTGGGACGGGACTTTTCTCCGTCTCAGCCCGGGACCCCTGTGATCCCGAGACATATTGCAGTAGGGATGAACGTCAAGAAGTACCATGAGGTCGCGCACTTCTCTAAATACGTGGATAAGCTGTGCACTACGGTAGACGAACAACGGGGCGATGCGATCACACACATCGTGGACTTTGGGTCGGGTCAGAGCTACCTGGGTCGCACCCTTGCCTCTGCGCCGTACCACCGGCACATCGTGGCCATCGAGCGGAAGCATCAGTTCATCAGTGGTGCGCAGGGCATGGATGTGCATGCTCGTCTGAAGGAGAAGAAAAAGGTCAACATGTACAACAAGAAGGCTGCCAAATGCAAGGTGTGCGATGAACCTGAGTCGCCTGCAGCGGTGGAGTCGCGCCCCAATGCAGGGGAGTCCAACATTGCAGAGCAGAGGCCTCAGGAGGAGGACCCAACGACAGCCACTGCCAATGGGGAAGAAGAGGACCTGGCCATGATTAACGTCTTCCGTGACGTCAGCCTCGCGCCCGGCGAGATTGGCTTCAAGCCCCATCGGAACGCGCCCAAGGCGGCCGTGGAAGAAGAGGATGATCCCAACAAGCCGAGAGGCACGATGGACTATATCGAACATGAGATCAAGGACGGTTATCTGGAGCCGATCATCAAAGATGTGATCGAGGCTCCTCTGCCTGCTGTCGAAACAACCACGGATGACAGTGCAGTTGCGACCAATGGTACCAAGGCAGACCAGAAGCCGGTGGACGCCAAGGTCATGGTCATCTCCCTCCACTCTTGTGGCAACCTACTGCACCACGGTGTCCGCTCTCTGACCCTGAACCCGTCGGTCAAAGCCATTGCTATGATCGGCTGCTGCTACAATTTAGTTACAGAGAGGCTAGGCCCTGCCACCTACAAGCTTCCTATCCTCCGATCCATGCATCCCCGCCTGACGCAGGATGCCGTCGCGTACGATCCCCATGGATTTCCTATGTCAAAGCGCTTCGAAGATTACGAGCATGAGAGCGGAACAGGTGTCAAGCTGAACATTACAGCACGGTCCATGTCCTTGCAGGCTCCTTACAATTGGGGCCGGAAAGACAGCGAGGACTTCTTCACTCGACACTTCTATCGAAGCCTTCTCCAGCGTGTTCTGGTGGATCGCGGAGTTGTCGCAAAACCCAAGATCCCTGACGATCTCTACGGCGAATCAGATGCACCCGAGGACGCAGGGAACCCCTTGATTGTGGGCTCTCTACGCAAATCCGCTTTTATCTCCTTCCCCGCCTATGCTACCGCTGCCGTGGCTAAGCTTTCCCGTGATGCGCACTTTGGGGAAAAGGTGAAAGCTGGGATGGGTGACCTCACTGAAGAGGATTTGAACCGCTATGTGGAAGAGTATTGGTACGCGAAAAAGAATCTCAGCGTGGTATGGAGCTTGATGGCTTTCAGTGCTGCCTTGGTAGAGGCCATCATCGTGGTGGACCGCTGGCAGTTTCTGCGAGAGCACGACTCCGTCAAGGACTGCTGGGTTGAACCTGTTTTCGACTACCACGAGAGTCCCCGCAACCTGGCCGTCATTGGAATCAAGAAGTGAAGGGCGACCTACCTCATGTGACAGGTTTTTCCACAGGATGCCTGAGGCCTCCGAACCGAGCTGCAGGTGTCAGAAAGCAGGGAGTTGGGCAGCAGTAGCAGCAGCAACAGCCTCTCTGGTTCCGAGACATTTGCCATCCGGCAGATCGGGCGCTTTATCTCCCGCCTGAATCAGTGTTCTGGCGACCTGCGACTGGCCTGATCTAGGCCGCGATGTGCACACGCGACTCCTATGAAGTGAGACCATGCTGGGGTCCTCTCCACGTAGATATGATGTGACCACGACCAATAGACGATAGACGATGGACCGAAAAGAAAAATATTGGCATTGAGGTTTATGTGCAGATAGATGGTGCGACAAATTCACCGACAGCTAGTGTACTGTGTCGAGAGCGCTGCTGATCGGTCTAGAATTTTTTCATCAATTTAACCGCTTCCAATGGTGCTTTCTCCTCGCTTGAGTAATATTAATTATGATGCCTAGTTTCCTAGGCAGTCACAATTCCTATTGAGTATACACGGGACAATTGTGTGGGGCTCATGGTAAAAGAGTAGGTAATCCACCGATCAGGGTCGAAAGAAACCTTAGGAAAGGGCAAAGGCGAGGGAATTTAAATCCAAGACAAAAGACAAAAGTCGAGACCCATAGTTATTTTCCCCAACCCAAAGGTTTCAGGGACTAAGTTAACTATCTTTTTTTTAGTGGGCGGCACCCGCGGGTTCCGAAACGGTTGTATGTCATTTCTTTCCAGTTGCCAATTCCCCCATTACAGCAACCTGCAATCTGCCCCCCATCCCAATCAGGCACGCTATCGACATTCCCGAGTCCTCTTCCATTCATTCTCCAACATTATGGACCATCTGGAGGCCGAGGGTCCCGAGAGCGATGGGAAGGAGTCACTTGGCAGACGTGCAGTAAGTCAATCAGTTGATGCTGCTGCGTGCTACCAGGTCACATGCTTACTACTTTACTTGCCTACCTGCAGTGTGACCAATGTCGTTTGCGAAAGGTACGAGACCAACTGTCTAGCCATAACTCTATGCAGCTTCTCGCTTGCCCGATATCCTTGCGTCGGCTCACTGACTTGCTCGTCTGTGTCTGTCTTATCAGATACGCTGCGACAAACGATCCCCGTGCTCCAACTGTCGCAGTTCACAGATTATCTGCCAATCGACCGGGGCAGGCCAGAAGCCTCAAGAGCCGCGGAAGCGGGTCTTGATCTCTAGTCAGTAGTATGTGTGCGACCATCCCGGAGTATGTCTTTCGTTCCGATCTGATCTTTGCCCCACATCCAGTGAAAGGAAGATCGATCTGATCGAAGAGCGCCTGGGGAGCATTGAGGACCTGCTCCGCCAACTTCGGTCGAACACAGCGACGACCAGCAGTGTCCCGGAGCCATACTACCACTCCACGCCCATGTCCAGCCGCATGAGCCCCTCTGTCCCCGGCCATGCGTCGAGTGGTCCGGCTCCCGTGGAGGACCCCGAGGCGACCCCCGCTTTCGAGGGCAACTCGTCTCTCGCCGCGCACTCCGCCTACGCCAGCGAGTTTCTGGAGACGGCCGTCTCGCGCAGCGCGCTGCAGGTGTCGTCGCCGACCATCCAGGCGGCGCTTTCGACCTTGAAGCAGATGGTCAGCATGCAGGACCACCAGGCGCACTCGCCGGCCCGCGAGATCCGCTTCCCCAACCAGAAGAGCATCCTGGGGTCCGGGATCCGAGACCTGGCCATGCCGCCCGTGCAGGTGGTCCTGTCGCTTCTCCGGAAGTTCAAAGGTACCGGTCCATCCCTGCAACGATAGTATACACCCTCATCACTCATCTCCAGCGCTAGAGAAACCCAACATTCTGCAGGGGGTCTGTCCGTTCCTCACGTGCGAGCGACTCATCGAGAAATGTCGGGAGGTCTACTTTGCCACCGAGGAGTTCTCGGACGCGGCGTTCATCGTCGTCCACGGAGGTCTCTATTATGTGATCAGTGACTGCATCTCCTCCGTCGAGGACCCGAAGACGCGAGACGAGTACCAGCGGTATCTCCGGCTCTGTCAAACCAATATAGAAACGGCGCTGGCCAACTTGAGTATCTGTATGCCGGCCAGAGCGGAATATATCGAAGCTCTTGCGTTGGGGGTAAGGACTCTTCTAGATGGGGGCTCTTTTGACAAACTATTGCGGACACTAACGGCTGTCTATGTAGGCTCTCTATGCGATCGAGATGTCGAAGCCGTCGTTCGCTCTGACATTGACCTCTACGGCAGCCCGACTATGTCAGACTTTGGGGTACCATCGAGCTTCATCAACCGATCCCGAAAGTGACATTTTCAGAGGACGCCAATTGTTTTGGACGGTTTATGCCCTCGACAAAGCGATATCTTTACGCCTTGGGCGGGCGTCAACAATCCAAGACTATGATATTACCATGCCGGGGCCGAACGACGTCATTGGAGCAGAGGAGCCCTGGAATAGCGTTTTCCAGATATGGATTAAATTCGCCACCATCCAAGGCCAAGTGTACGAGCGATTATACAGCCCCGCGGCATTGTCGCAGCCGGAGGACGAGAGAGCCGAGCATGCCCGTCAGCTGGCTGCTCAAGTGATGGAGACTATTGATGCACCATTTGATGTATGTGTTGTGCCACCTTCGGCGGGCCAAAGCAGACGGCTGATCCATCACAGCACATCATGAACACTCAGAAGCTATCCCATATGGACGAGATCTACATGATATCGGACAAGATTGCCCGAAAGTCGGTGATGACCCTAATATATCGAGCGATTCCTCCATCGCGAGACTCGCAAAGCACATTCGTCAAAGAATGCATCACGACGGCTCGGGAGGCACTCGAACTACTGAAAGAGACCATGATCGAGGTCAAGGGAATGACTGAGAATTTCAAGGCGTCTTATCTCCACTGGTACGTTGGCTTCCAGCAAGGTGTTTTTGTGTAGACACTCATAGAGGTTCTTGCAGGACGGTTCTCTACGCTCCCTTCGTGCCGTTTGTGGTGTTATTCTGCCACACAATAGCGACGTCCTCGTGGGAGGACCTGAACCGTCTGGAGGAGTTTGTGCTCTGCGTGCAGCCGAACTGTTTTCTTTCGGAGGCCATCGCCAAGCTATACCGCCTGTGCCAGGTGCTCAGTAATGTCGCAAGGCTGTACATTGAGGCCAAAGCACAGGCGCAGGCACGAGAGGATCAAAACCTTGTGTCTGTTGGGCAGGAGTTCGATACCTATCTAACTGCGCTGGGTCTTGCACCTGCATCGAATCAAGAGGGCGGGGCCGTGTGGACGTCGGCGCCTTCCACGGCGGGAGCCGGAGCTGTATCCGGGGTCATGAGGTCTGGGAATGGGGGGCCCTACACTGAAGCTCCTATGCCACCGACTGATCAACTGGGGAATTGGTTCTCGGGCAATCAGCATATGATGGGGCTACTGGAAGAGGATCTCTCTGTTTTTGATCCTTCGTGGACAGGATGAACAATCTTGTTGGTTTGCATGACAATGTTTGTCTGGTGGCTCGGCATTAAGCGCTGATACTCCACCCATTTCACTAACTTAACGATTTGAGCGCTCGATCGAGTCACTCCCCAGTCCGCGCGTCGCCGGAAAACCTCAAATACACTTGCCTCCGTCGATTATCATCTCCGCCCCATTGACGAAGCTCCCCTCGTCACTCGCGAGATACACGCACATGTTGGCGACGTCGTCTACCTCCGTCAGCCGTCCCAAGGGCACATTCCCGATGAACTTGTCCCGGTTCTCGGGCGTATCGTCCATGCCGGTGAACAAGGAGAACAACCCGGTCCCCGACAGCAATGGCGAGACGGTGTTGACCCGGATATTGTGCGGACCATACTCGGCCGCGAGACCTTTGGTTGCCTGTCGTCATTTGATCAGCAGTCATCAGCAGCGTCTCCAAGCATCCACCACCACCAATCGACGCCACCCTCCCCAAAAGCCACGAGGTTGTGGACACTCACGTTCGAAACCGCCCCCTTGGACGCATTATACCACACCAACCCGGGCCGCGGCCTCGTCGCCCCGGTCGACGAGATATTGATCATCGATCCCCCGCCCCCTTGCTCCAGCAGCCGCTTCACAAACACCTGGCTCCCGAGAAAGATACTCTTCACGTTGACAGTGAACACCCGCTCCCACTCCGCCTCGGTGACCTCGACCGTTGGCTGTGTTTGACAGTCTTGTCAGCATGACCCAGTCCCCTCCCTGTTCTTCGAATACAGCAAAGAGGATACCTTATTCCGATACGTCGTCCCCGCATTATTGACCAAGACATCCACGCGCCCGAACTTTTCGACCGCCACCGCCACCGCCCGCGCCCAGTCCGCCGCGACCGTCACGTCGACCCGCTCGAAATGCAGCGCCGTCGGCGCCGTGGCTGCCAGCTCCGCCCCGGCCGCGGCGTTGATGTCCGCGATGATCACCCGGGCGCCTTCTTGGTGGAAGCGGCGCACTATCGCCGCGCCGAAGCCGGAACTTCCTCCTTTGCGTGGGGTGGGTTAGTTGGTTTGAGGTTGGGTGTGTGTGTTGGGTGTTGGGTAGGGGATGGGGGGGACGAGAACGTACCGGTTACGATGGCGACTTTGCCGTCTAGACGGGGCATTTTTTGTGTTTGCGGTAGGGTAGGATACGGTTGGAGGGGCTTATATTGGAGCGGAGGATTGGTGGTGCTGGCTCTTGTCTTTGGTGGTGGTTGATAAGTATAGGGTAGATTAGAGGCTGTAAACTGTATCAAGCTCAATCGTATATCCCATGCATCGCTTCCCTGGAGAGTCAAAAACGAACCTGGAGATATGGGTGAAGTCCAGCGACGAGCGTTTTTGAAAAGAATCAGGGTGAGAGGGAGACAGGGAGGGGAGGTGGGTAGATGGCTGGGTTATTGTAGCTGGAGCGGAGAATCTTGTCTTGTCCCGTGCGGTTGATGATCTGTCGGACAGCTTGTCGGTTCTAGCCCTTAGGTGGGTTACTTACCCCGCCTCGCCTCGCAGGTGGGACAGCGTCACAGCACAGCACAGCACAGCACAGCACAGCACTGTGCCACCAGGATACGGGATGCGGGGTTCGGTCCGGGGTCCGGGGTGACGGGGAGGGTGAGTTCTGGAGGTGGAGGTGGAGGTGGAGGCGGGGTAAGAGAGGGGTTGCTAGTTCAGTTCTTGGGTTGGGTGGGTGGCTTTGTACGTAGGAGGACTGGAGAGCAGTGCTCGGCATGCTCGGTGTTCTCGGTCTCTGGTTGTTGAGTGTTGAGTGTTGGTTGTTGATTGTGGATCTGGGGTTGGGATGAGATGACGAGTTTGAAGTTCGAGGGTACAGTACTGTACAGGACTTGAGATACGATTGATTTGTATGCTATGGCTAGAAAATGGAAGGGGGGAAGTTCAATACACCGTCGAAGTCGATGATTAATAACTTATGTCCAATTGATAAATCAGTCGAATATATGAATGCATTAGAATCGGATATATGCAGAGAGTCCAGGGGTCAGATCCAATGCAGGAGAGAGAATACTGGGCACCAGGAATGATATCACCGCAAACTAAGAGATAAAAGCCACCCCCAAATCAACCCTCCGCGAACTTGATCGCGCGCTCCTTCCGCAGCGTCGGCTCGTCTTCCTCGCGGTCGCGGGTCTTGGCCGTCGCGTCCAGACACCGGATCATGCTCTCGCAGAGCCGGTGCAGCACCCACTCGGGCTCCGTCTGGCTGGCCAGCATGGGGCTCGTCTCGCCGATCCAGTCCCAGTTCAGCACGCCGTACTCGTCCTCGCGCAGCTCGACGCTCGACGTCGGGTCCGTCGCCCGGATCAGCCGCGTGAACTCGACCCATTCCTCGTATGTGTACTGCTTCGGCTCCGCGTTCAGGGCGTCCCGCGTCGTGCGCTGGATCGCGAGCGCCAGCTTTTGCGCCAGTCGGATGTTGGAGACGGGGCCTTCGTCGGCATCGGCGGGGCCCGGTTCGGTCTCGAGCTGATCGATGGTTTCTGCCTTGGGCTTGGTGCCGCCGTCCTGAGGGCTGGTGCTCGGGGACAAGTCGCTGACCCGCTTGGCGCCGATTTCCAGATCCCCCCTCTCGTCGGTGGCGGGCCCGATGGGGAAGCCCTCGGCGACGCGCTTGTGCTCTTCGCGGTGCTTGAGGGCCGTGTACAGCGGCGGGATCTTGCGGACGAACTTGGCGTAGCGGCCGGATTGCGGGAGGACGGTCCAGTCGGCCGCGACGTCCGTGGCGTGCTTGAAGCCCGCGACGATGGTGTCGCTCATCTCGGAGATGAGCGTGGTCATGGTGGGCACGGCGACGAGGGACCAGACGATGAAGAAGGGTTTGGCGGCGTTGGTCGACGGGGTGATGTCGCCGTACCCGATCGTCAGGAGCGAGCAGAAGCCGAAGTAGAGCGCTTGGAAGTACGTGATGTTCTCCATCTGCCAGAAGGCCACCGCGCCAATCGTCCAGACAATCCCAAACATGATCAAGCTCAGCACGAGGTTGTACCACCGGCGGAAGAAGAGCGTTTCCCGCTGGATGGCCCGCATCGCGTCGAATCGGTCTTTCTCCTCCTTCATGACGACCTGCTTCGGACGACCCATCAAGGCGAAGGCGTCGATCGTGGTGCGGACCGGCCGGCCGGAGCGCCGGGGTTTGTATTCGAGCTGGGAGGTCGCCCCGGGCTCGATGGACACGGAGCGGCTGACGGTTGCTCGGCGTTTGCGTTCCACGTGTTTGCGTATCACCTGTTTGTACTGGATGTCGTGCGCGAACTGCAGGACACTGTTGACCACGAGACCCAGGATTATCATGCCGATGACCGCGTACGGAAAGACGAGACCCCTTGCCACCGGAGTCGTGGGGGTGATGTCGCCGTATCCCAGCGTGAGGATGGTGACGTCCGAGAAGTATAGCGCATCTGCAAAGGAGATGCCGATCACATTGCTGAAAATCGCGGCCCCAATTATGAGCCACACCACAAAAGCCGTCGTCTGCAGAATGAGCGTGCGCTGGCCGTCGGTCAATGCGAAATACTGCGGATAGTGTCCGAGAACATATCCGAGCATGTTGATCAGTAGTATCACACCGAGGATAAAGTACAGGACTGCGGCGATCACTGCACTCCAGTAGGCCTGCGAGTACGTCTCATTGGGAGGTACGGGAGGAGAATAGACATGCATCGCGGCTGTGATACCGATCAAGATGGAGGTTGAGAGAAACCAGAGGATGATCGATACAGGCAACGCAATGATGTACCGCACTGTCCGGGTGAAGTTGAACAGGAGGAACAAGTTACCCATCAAGCCGCATGCCAGCGACGTCGCATTGAGAGCTATGCACCTAGTCAGGTTAGGGCTAGATGCTGTGAGTCGGAAGGTTACAGATGGCTTACCATCGTGGGTCTGCCAAGGACTTCTGGATGGGTTGCCCGAACGAATCGGTCTGGCTCAGAACTGTCACCTTCCATGATGAAACTAGCGCCACGATGGACATGACATTCGCCAAGGGAGCGGTTGTGGCAGCTATGAGCGGGATTGCTGTCGATGCTATCCACCAGTTTTGCGGTTCATCGTCGTCGGCCGGTCTCAGATGGAATGGGCTTCGAAGCCGCTCTCCAAGCGACCTCTTCTGCTGCGTGTGAGGGCTTGACGAGCTATCCGGCATGGTTACTTTGTCTTGAGAGTAAGCAGGCCACGGCCGCGTTCTGGCTAGGAGTGACTCCAGGAGAGTCCTATGGAATCAAAAAAGAGGTTTCATGGCGATATAATCAATGATAAATTCCAGGGATAATGAATGAGACCTCCTTCTCATGGTCATATATAGAGATGCCGATCTCGAAGGCAATGGATGGGGCCAGGAAAAAGACACGTTAGGATTCTCATTGGTGGTGGAGGAGTGGAAGTGAATTCCTTGTTTTGACTTGGCAAGACGGGACCAGATGAGATGACGCCCGCCCAGATGGAGCTCCCGTGACCCACCAACCCTGACAGCTTGCCCTAGACCTCCCCTTCTTTGGGACATGATGTCATTCCGGTTGATTCCTACCGTCTACTTTTGTAGTGGCTGTAGTATCCCGCAAGAACTTGATTGATCTTGTCTCTATTCACAAATGAAACGCTGAAAATAGTTGGTGCTCTGGTTCCTGGCCCTGCGTCAGGGAAGACGCCTGGTCGGAGAAGTACAGTACTTCACATGATAGTCATCGTTGAAGACAATACTGTGAGAGACAAGATCGGGTTTTACCTCTACAGATGAAGCTGAAGAGAGATTCAGGTAATATTCTTCGAAAAGCTAAGTTGGAATCTAGATTTAAGATTAACCGATTATTACAAGCAAGAGCTACAGGTAATTACAATGTCGCGCAGTCTAAATAAGTCCAGTCCCACACTCATGACAGCTCCTCGGCATAGCCCGCGGGATTGCCCCAGCCCATCCGCAACATCTGGTTGACCATGGGCCAGTTGCGTGTGCGGATCTGGTAGTTTAGAGGCTCATCGAGGATCAGATGCTCCAAGCGGCCGGTCTGGATGATCCACTGTCCGAACCCGGCCGCTTGGAGCTGTGGTCGCGCCAGCAGAGCCATGACAACCTGTCGGTCCCAGACATGCGTGAGGAAATTGTTGCGTTGCAGGTTGTCCAACGGGTACGAGAGCTCTGGGTACTGGTACTGGTCTTTGTTGAGCCCCAGATTCAAGGGGAACCCGCAGTTGATCAGCGCCAGGGCGAGCTCCATATGCCCCAGGCTCAAGGCCGCTTCGATCGCCGACCTGCCCGATGCCGTCACGATTACCGGGCCCAGCGCCTCCGGCAAGGCGGCGACAACGGGCGGGACCAGCCCAGGCATCAGATCGCATAGGAGCAGCTGACGCGCGATCGCCTCATCGCTAAGATACGTGCCGTTGTCGTACGCTTGGCGAAGCAGGTTGATGTAATCCGGCATCCTACACAGGTAGGGCAGGGCCCCGGGCCCGGCGTTCGTGGCGTAGCGGGCCCCTTCGGAGAGAAGCAGTCGCACCATCGCGTCCCGCGCAAAGCTCCGGATCCCATAGCCCAGAGGCGGCCCGAACTCATCGTGGCTGAGCTCAGGGCACACCGCGAAGTCCAGCGCCGTGTTGCGGTTGACCCGCGCCGTGGCGAAGATGTCGGCCCCGCGCTGCAGCAGCAGCCGGGCCACGGGGACCTGGGCGTAGAAGGCGGCGATGTGCAGCAACGGCCTGGCACTGAGGTCGTAGAGATTAGCATCGAGCCCTGCGTCTTCCAGACAGAACCGGACCGCGTCGTACCGGCCCTGGGCCACCAGGCGAGCGAGGGGCTGGCTTACCGGGTTCTCATGCCACAGATACCGACTGCTCCGCCGGTTGTCATGTTGGTTGGCGATGATCATCGCGTCGTAGGTCACCTGCGGAGGGACGACCGTCTCCCGACAGCGCGCAACGACCTCCTCCTGGGCCATGTCGCGGAAGGCTTTGCAGGTGCGTCGGAGCGTGAGGAGCGTGTCTGTGTCCGCGTACAAGATGACCTGCACGGCGATCTCGGGCGGGAGCGCTGCCAGCCCGATGTTGAGCGTCTTGAACACCCGCAGCAGCTGATTCCTGAGGCGTCGACCGTGGTGTCGTTCGAAAAACTCGAGAACCTTCTGACGTTTTCCGGCCATCGTGGCTTGTGGTTCAGCGCTGGTCCGGTGGGGTGGTGTTGGGTTTTCATGACGGCGAGACGTAGACCCTTGGGGTCTTTTATATAGATGCGCGTCTCCGTTTCTTGTTGAAAGGGTCGCCGACATAGAGGCACTTTTCAAGAAAGTTGCCGGTATCAGAGGCTAGAGAGCAATACGCCATTTCTTCATGTTAGGTTGCTGCTTCGTTTTGTCTCCGTTTTGTGATATTGCCGCAAGGCAAGGTGAAAAGATCATGGCACAAGTTCTCGCCGTTGGCCAGCGCATTTGTCACAGGTAGGCTTAGAAAGAGGCAACAGAGTATATGTCTCAAATTGAAGAAAATGAAATGACAGGACTGACAAGGTGCTATTGGAGATGGAGGATGACATGTCGCTTAGACTATGAGGTGATCCAGGCGCGGTCATCAGGTGACTTCGGAACTCCAGCGATTGTCTTACGCAACAGTCCTCTTTATCATGACACCTGGTGACGACAGTATTGGGAACTAGAAAAGATTTTACAGAAGCACTAGTACGCCATGGCAAATGACTTCATATTCATATAGTAGATGAGTGCAAAACATAGACAGGGGAAGAATATTACAATGATAGATTAGAATCTCTGAAAAAGTGATACAGATAGTAAGAACTGTCTTTCTACAATAGTCTTGGCAGGTAGAAAACGCCAGCCATCAAAGAAACCCCTGCAACTTCAAGGATTAGGGCCTGCCTTGAGCAAAGCTCGGATCTCGTCCCAGCTTCTGGCAACCAGAGCCTCCCGGAGTGGGCTTCTTAGAATCAAGTCCGGGTCCCTCCATGCCTCAAAGCCATCTTTCTACAACTCAGGCCGCTCTAGCAGCAGCTCAGGAAGCGAGGCCCATTTCCTCCAGACGTTCCGGGGCAGGACTTTCGAGCCATAGAATTTAGGATTCGGTTCCAGTTTACCAAGAACAAACGCCAACTCAGGGTATTCGTTTCTGTCCCAATGATAACCCAGCTTGAGGCAGAATCCCTTTCGTATCATGTACGCGGCGAACTTGTGGGATGCGTGTTTACAGTACGGGGACGAGGTTTGTCCAAGTGCATCCTGCATCAATCCGAGCCCGGGCATCGACAGCACCTCCGGGATTTCTTGCACTATGACATCCAAAATGTTCACCGAAAGCTTTTGAATACAGCGTGAGATATGTTTATACAGCGTGTACCAGTCCGTAGTGCGGCCATCCTTGTACAGGCCATTTCGGATTGCCAATCTGAGAAGTTCCGGCCCGTCCGGGCGTCGGACCAGATGGATGAAGCAATCGGCTGAGGAAAACGCTGCACCCTTCTCGAGCAGAAGCCGAATGATCCTCTGATGTCCCCCCACAGTCGCCGTCCAGGGCTTGTCGGTGACTCGTGAATGTATGATCCTCCCAAGGGCTGGGTAATCGTCTGAGAGATACCGCCGTTGCTCCGGGCTCAGCATGTCTAATGCCTGGTACCCGGTCCACGTTTTCTGATTGACGTCAATCTCCGGGTGGGAGAGAAAGATCTGGATCATTTGGAGGTTTCGGGTTCGCACAGCAATATGCCAGAATGAGTTTCCAAAGAGATCGTAGTTTCTGTGGGGGTGGACGCCAGCATCCAGCACATTCTGCACGACTTGATAATGGCCGCGGATGATCGCCTGTACAAAGGGCTGTGGTATAATTTCGGGTCTGTGATTGATGGACCAATTCGAGTGATTTTCATGTGGTAACCCATTCTCGTCAACCATAGTGAATCGCTCGTAATACTTCTTGGAGGGAAGAGCCCACTTGAGGCATCGCTTCTTCAGCAGGCCTCTCAGAGTGTCGCTCAAGGCTGGAACAGCTAACCTGAAATTCATTAGCTCCCAGTAGTTCATCTGTTCAACAATCACATACAAGATGTCCATGGGCAGGTCTTCCAGTTTGAAGACCCTAGCACGTTCTGGAGCATCGCCGGAGGTATAATCGCGGTCGTTAGACATGGTCCGTGGTTTCGAGTTGCTGATCCCCTGTATCTTTAAGTTGTGGCTTGACGGTTGTTATCGTGGTGTCATGAGGTTGACTCTCATTTGAAAAAGGGTATTATGTTGGTTGTTTTATATTTACTGAGCACCGACTCATACTCATAGATAATCGTCGCGGAAAGGGGATAATGTCTCACTTTTTCAAGAACTGAAGAGATAACTTCCGCGCGCAATGTGGACTTTCTTTGTTGGGCTTTCACAACTGTGGACTTGAAAGAAAGATGGGTATCTGGTGCCTCTGGTCGGATCAGCGGTGATACATCTTCACGCTGGGTTGTGTGGAGTAGGGCACATCTTGAGTTATTTACTAAAGCCTTCTGGTGCTTCTGTCGAAGTTCCATCTGGGTGCCTGGGAATTGTAGAGCCATCTGCTAAATGGTTCTTGCACATGTTTGGCTGCGATTAGCGTCTGACGATACCGCTATATTATAATCAAGGCTCGCCGTCAACAGTGAAATAGATTGGCATGATCCCGAAATTAGGTGCCACCCTGAAAGAGTAGCTGTAAAAGAGCCGGGTGCTCTGGGTCCTCTGGAATCACGCATACTGTTGTGGCTCGTTACATATCAGTGATATGTGGTATAGTGCAGAAGAATTTTCTTCTTCCTCTGAAACTTACTATCAGTATCCCTTTATCCCAGCAGGTTAGCAGACTGATGACACACACATTCCGTGCCCTGCTTGAGAAGAGAATACTACATAACAATGTACTGTATGTAGTCCATGATGTTTGCATAACTACAGCGAAGCGGGAACAAGCACAGACCCTCCTCCCGCTACCACTACTGCTACTAATGCTACCACCGCCTTCCCCACCGCCCGACCGTATCCAGCGTCATGCCGGGGATCCTGCCACCATCGCCCATATCAACAACATCTCGAAGACAATCCAACAACCATCCCATTCTAACTACTACCCACCTACACCCTACCCTCCTGTCACACCTCCGCCCTATTTATCCCTCTACATAGCATACACCACAATATCCAAATTGTCTCATCATGGATTACACAGACCCCTTCCTCCAAGTCCAAGCGTAAGTATTCCCAATCCCCTTAAACACCGATAAGTGAATCCACCCCGAAGCTAAACAAAATCAGGGACGTCCTCTCCACCCTACAAACCACGCGACCGCTCTTCTCCTCGTACCTGCGCATCCGCTCGCTCGCCAAATCCCCCAGCAACCCGGAGCTGCAACAAGCGCGCTCGGAGCTCGAAACCACGCTGACCGACCTCACCGCCGACCTGGACGACCTCGTCGAGAGCGTGCGCGCCATCGAGCAAGATCCCTACCGGTTCGGTCTGGAGCTGGAAGAGGTCCAGCGTCGCCGGAGTCTCGTCACCGAGGTGGGCGCGGAGATCGAGAATATGCGCCAGGAGCTGCAGCGGGCGGTCACGACGGCAGACGCCGCGGCGGCGGCGAGCGGTGGTGGCGGTGGTGCGGGGTCCTCGCATCTGCCGAATCCGGCGGATTTTGATGAGGAAGACGGGGGTCTGCTGTCGCCGTCCGGGGAGCGGGGCGATGATTACTATGCGGCCATGGAGCAGCAGCGGCAGATGGAGTTGATGCATGAGCAGGATGAGCAGCTGGATGGGGTGTTTCGGACGGTGGGCAATCTCCGGCAGCAGGCGGATGATATGGGGCGGGAGCTGGAGGAGCAAGCGGTGATGATTGACGAGGTGGATACCCTGGCCGATCGGGTCGGGGGCAAACTACAGAACGGGATGTCGCGATTGAAACATATCATCCGGAAGAATGAAGGTAAGGAAGTTCAACTTTTGGGTGTTCTATCCAACCTATCTGAAAATACTGATCGTCCCGCCATTAGATACAATGTCCTCCTTCGCCATCGCGGTCTTGATATTCGTTCTAATCCTCCTCTTGATCCTGCTCCTTGTGCTTTGAAGGGGAGGAAGTTTCGTCCGGTCCGCGGATTTTAGACCTTGGTCTTCTTGCGGGGACGGGACTGTTCCTCCTCGTCGTCCTCATCCTCGGACGCGTCAATATCGCTGTAGTCGACCTCCTCGATGGATTGATCCGTGACTAGACCACCGTCAGTCAGCCAGTGTGAATGAGAAAAAATGCAGTCGAGGCCACCACACTTACCATAGTACTTCATCGCATTGGGCCAGAGATCCTCAGCAACGGCGATGGCCAGCTCCTCGCCACCGGGGAAGATCTCGATGAACTCGAAGTCGTCCTCCAGATCATCGTCCTCGTCGTCTTCGTCCTCCTCATTCTCCCCCACCTCCTCACCCTTGCGCAGCTTCTCGAACTTCTCCTCCTCCTCCTTGGTCGCGGCCTTGGACTGCTCCTCGGTGACATCACTGCCGCGGTAACCGAAGAAAGCGAAGAAGCTCAGGTCCGCATCCGGGGGCACGTCGTCCTCCTCATCCTCACCCTGGGGCTCCTCGTCGGCCTCGACCTCATCGCGCTTGCGCATCAGCGCCTCGAACTCCTTCAGCTCCTTGCGGTCCGTGTCGGCGTCCTTCTTCTTCTCCGCCTCGGCCAGGTCGCAGGCGGCGTCCAGCAGGCCCTTGGTGGGGTCCTGGCCCTCCTTCCAGTTGATGCGGACGGGGTCCGAGACGAGCCCGTCCCAGTGGCGCTTGTGGCCGTTGGCGGTGGTGATGACCTGCTTGCGCCAGTAGAAGTCCTTGACCAGCTTGTCGTTGGTGAAGTAGGGGTTCTCGTCGCCGGTGCGGAACTCGAAGGTCAGACGGAAGCTGCGGGGCTCGCCGACGCCCTTGTCGTCGACCTCGAAGCGCTCGACGGTCAGGTTCTTCAGCGTGGAGGCCAGGATCGTCGCGTCGGTCATGGTGATGTGCTCCTCGACCTCGGCGGGGGCGTTGAGCATCACGCGCGTCCAGAAGGTGTCGCGCAGGTCGGGGGAGGAGATGACCTCATTGCGCTTGGCGAAGAGCGGGCGGAGGAGGAGGGTCGAGTGGCGGACTGCAGCATTGCCAGATAGCATTAGTATCACAGCGCCCAATAGAAGAAAGAACGCAGCAGCTGCCATTCCAGCCCAATGGCCGATTGCGAATCGCTTCAAGACCCAGCAACGCCGTAGCTCCGTAGCTCTGCGACACCCAGTCTACAAAAAAAAAAAAAAAAGGAAAATAAGAAACTCACGCTGCTCCACCTCAGCCTGAATAAACTCCTGCTCCACCAGCGCAATCTTCTTCTGCGTCTCCTTGCTCACCTCGGGCCGCTGGATGCGCTCCAGCAAGGACTGGTTCTGCTCTTCGGCGGACATTTTGGTTCGCTATAAGATATTTAAGAATGTGCGTAAGGGTTTGTGCGTTCGTAATCAGGATCAATACTGTTTGAAGCCAGTAAATCCAATCCTCACAAGGAAAAGTTAAAGGTGAGTTAGGCAGTTGTGGTTCGGTTTGAAAAGAGAGAGAAAAAAAAAAAAAAAGTTGAAAGTCAAGCAGAGCAAAGCGGATTCCCACCCCCGGGTTTTTCAAAGTGAGGTGGACGGGCGGGAAGCTGACCTACCTGACTAAGGGTGCTAGCTAAGTTAACTAACTAAGCTTAACTGGTTAACTTAACTAACTACCCTAATTTAGTAACTAACTACTGCCGCCGCGCGGGCGTATGGCTCAGCTCCAGGCAGGCTCTCACTGCTACACTAGATTGCTGTTGGTACTGTACGGGAGGCTGCTTCTGCTTCCTATAGACTACCCAGGTAACTTACAGCATGGCTTTTCCGGGAAGAATAAAATGAGAGATAGGAGTATCTTTCAAGGTCCAGACTCAGCTACTACAGTAATCATAAGGGGTATTAAAGGTAAGATACAAGTACAGGTATAGCAGAGTAGCATTGCAAATTCGAATCCTTCCTCGACAGTAAAAACTCTACCTACTCGGAACGTTAACAAACAGGGACCGGCACGGGCACAGGCACGGGGTTGGGGTTACACATGAAAAAAAAAAAAAAAAAAAAAAGTCCAACAAACCGCCTTCTGCCTTCCACTCACCTCACCTTCTGCTAGAGGTCTTGAATTAATGCAACTCCCTAGTTAGTGAAATTATCCAAGAAGTGAGTATCGGAATAAGCTAATCCCCTACCCCTTAATCAATCCCATCATGATTGGCGTGCACACACAGAAAAGTGGGAATCCTTAACCGCCATTCCCACTGTTTCAGGTGCTTTTTGTCGGGGGCTAGACTAATTTACCTAGCTGGGATTTTTTTTTTCCCTACATTTACATTTAGTTTCATGGGCGCGCTGTGAGTGGGGAACTTTTTCGAATTTTTTGTGCGGGTTAAGGTAACTTAGTAGTAGATTATAGAAGTTTTTTATGCTGTGATTACTTTCTGTTACTACTTGGTAAATGTGCTTGATAGAGGTACAGTATAGTTTTCCTTACGGGCTGGACGGCTCTACGCTACTCTTGTAGTCGACATCTATTGTTTAAAGATAGAATACTATTGATTGTCACTCGGATTGTCTGAATGTTGGTGGAGGGTTGGGGAGTGACGTCATTTGCTACGACACTTGTGCATGCATAGCATATCTTCAGGCCAAATATCAGGCAAGATGACTAGCTAGCCTTTCTGTGCTATAGAGGTGACAGCGTACAGAGGTCTCCTTCACTTGCCCAATCCCTGTCTGGGGCTGTATTTGTCGTGGTGATAGGAGAAGATACCAAGCCCTGTCGACGAAGTTACCGATGAATATCACATCTCTATACTCCGTGGACAGCGGGACTGGCTTGTTGCGTGTCTTGCATGGCCATCTCCCTAAAATAGTCGGGCCTATTCCAATAGAAGCATGGATAATGATATCCAGCGGCACAAGCAAATACATATCTCCAGACCTCAACCCAGATCAATTCTGAGAATATCAAATTCATAAATCAGTAGCCGCCGATGCTCACAGCATCCGAGGGGAATAAATTAACTAAAAGCAAACACACACACAAACACACACACACACACACACACACAAAACAGCAACACCAATTCCATATCAAAAACACAAATGATATGAAGATGCGACAACGGAAGAAAGAAAAAGAAACTTTTGGCACGTGCGGATTGACTATGACCCTCAAAATCAATCCGACATGTCCAGTATCATGCCTGCATAGTCGTGACGTGCGTTTCAGCCAGAATATTATGATAAGAATCAAATCAAAAATAAAATAAACTTTTTTCCGGAGGTGAGTTGAGAGCGGCGACGCCCTCAAATCTTCATTCCTCTTGTTTGTGGCTTTCCCATTAAGGTATAGATCTTCTGTCTCTCTCTTTTTTGAATGTCTCTTGCCCCAAGAGACATTGATAAGGAAAACCCAGGCCAGTTCGCCGGTGATGCATGCATGCAGGAAAAGACAACCAGAAAATGCACGCCAACAGGCGGGATTGCAAAGCGGTGAGTAGAGTGTTGTAAGTGTCGGTCGTGAGCGAGGGATTTAGGACTTCGACAGAAAGTCCGACCGGTCAAAGCCCCAGAGGTTGGGTTCAGGCAGGCCATCAATCGATGGGATGTAATGTAACCTCCCCTTATCGCAAACCAATCGCGCCATCGGTCAGGTGACGGGCCAAGCCAGACTCACCGACACCGGCGCACGTGCCCGTCGGCTCAAACTGGACGGGACTAGGCATGATCTTCCCACCACTACAGCATCCAGTCCAATCCGTTGGCCTCTTCCTCCACCGGGAAGACCTCGCGCGCATATTCCTCCATATCGCGCCACCCCTGCCATAAATGCCGGGCCTCGTCGGTCACACGAAGCGAAATCACCCCTCCGGGACCCTGCATCATTCCCGCGCCTGCGCCTTTGCCATTGGCGGGGCCCAGTCCCTTGGGGGATCCAGCGGCCGGACGGGAGAACTCGGGCTGTGGGAAGTAAGGCGCGTCGCACTGTCCGAACACCACCTCAATCGCCTCCAGCTGTTCTCGATAGCCCGGCGGAATGTTGACTTTCACTTCGACCTTGGGGACGCGCAGGTAGCGACAGGGGCGGCCGAGCGCGCGCTCGAACGCAGCGCAAACTTGATTGGGAGAGAGAGTTTCGAATGTGAGCGCGATACTGTGGTCGTTAGTACCGTCTCCCCATCACAAACAAACAACAAGTCAAACCTACCGATGTCCATTCCACTTCTTCGGCCCATCCTTGAAAATCTGCAGCAACGCGGGGCCCACATCATGTTCCGCGTCCAGCCAGGGCAGCGGAATGTCCGGGTCAAAGGGCGCATGCCATTCGAAACTTCCATCCGGCATGAGCTCCATCTGGAAGAGGGGGTAGGGTAGACTCGTGAAATTGTTATTGTAGATTCCGGCGTAGACAAAGGTCGAAGGAAGTCCCAGTTGACGGATGTAGTTCTCGACGGTGAATTTGGGGGCCCAGAGCGGTACCGGAGGCCAGGGCCCATGTACCGAGTGATCGGGCATACTGCTGTAGATGTAGTGTTGGATGGTTCCGGCTCGTTTGGCGGCGTCGGCGAGGTCGCGGCCGATTGCGACTTCGTCGCCTGATTGTGAGGTGGTGTTGATGAATGCAAGGTTGGCGCCCTCGAATAATGCGTCCATCAGGGGAGTGTTGCCCAGCAGCGGGCCTTGGAATAGAGTGACATTCGGAAGCTCCTGCAGCTCCTCTGCGACGAAGCCCTTGAGAGAATGGATCTGAGCGCGCACATTGTGTCCGACGGCCGAGGCCACGCGTATTAAAGACGCAGCCTGGCGACCCGTCGCGTTTACCACGGCGATGGTCTTCTTTTGTTGTGTCATGAGGAAGAGGGGGAGGGGTAGGAGATGGAGGAGGGGAAGAAGAATATGTGGAGGGCGGAAAGAATAAAAAAGCCTCCGACGGGCTGCGGGAGGAAAGAAAAGAGGATGCGGGGTAAAGAGGAACACGAGGGAGGAAAATCAATAGTAGAAGTAGGAGCTCAAGGTAAGTGAAGTAGTAGCAGTACTTGATCGGTGAGCAGGCCAATGCAAGTAAATGTAGTTCCCTTCAATCCGAGACAAGGTCAGGTGGTATGCCACCAACACAGCGCACGTTGTGACTAGTGCAGCAAAGTAGCGGTGGTTCAAAGCAGGGAGAAACGAACGGCGGCACGGTGGGGTAGAGGAGAAATTGTACGTGGAGATCACTGTTCACTATTGAACAACTTCTCCAAGGCGAGGTTCGAGAAGGAGAAATTATTTGTTATGTAGCTCAGTGGGCTAGTCGTCCCTGTTGTCGCGACGGATTTGTCCAGTTATGCCGCAATTGAACAGATCGATGATGCAAGCCTTAAAGATAGCTGCTGCTGCTGCAGATGAAAGGAAGTTGCTTTCCTGGGATGATATCCGTCGGGCAGAAAATATGAGGAAATCGCCGCGTACTAAAAAGACTCCGCTGCCAGGAGAAGTAGAGCCAAAAAAAAGAAGTGTTAAAAAAGAAAATTAAAAAAAAATAAAAATAAAGTGTTGGAGATGGCGCGGCGGGATTGTCGATAATCGATAATGCTCCAACTTCTCAAACCCTCCAAATCGGCGCAGCTGAGACTAAAGTTACTATACACCACACTGACTCGTCGAGAGCAGGGAGTTTTGGTTAGTTAATGGATAACAAAAATGCGCTGTTTTCTGGGCCGTTCAATGCACACAATACGAATGCCCCTTGACCAGGGCAAGGAAATGTGAATAATAAGAATCACCGGATACTCCAAGATGGGCCAGCAATGTGGATTTGTGGACCACCCCCGGGAGGCCTGGTCTGACGCCAGGTGAGGGAATTGATCTCACGTTGGTGGGCAGTGGGCAGTGGGCACCGATAACGCAAAGCCTCCCCTCCCCTCAAAAAGTCAAGTAATAATAACCAGGTGAAAAACAAGGGGAGAGAAAAATACTGAGAACAAATGATAATGGCCCGGCAAGGAAAAAATTGAACACCAGACTTACAAGAATTTCCCGTGCTACCAAACAATTGAAGCCGAAACTGATATCCACAATAGCACTGCAAACTGCAAAGAAAAAAAAAATCTCCCAGTGTAGCCCCGTGGATCAGGCCCAGTGCTTGGTTCCGAGATTCGCACCCACAACCAAAGGAGACCCTAATCAGCCCTGCTGGCCAGAAACAGTCGATATATGCACGAGGATCGCCTCGAGAGACGCAGCAGGATCTTGCTAAATCCAGGAACAAGAGGGGGATGTTATTTCCGGGTACCACACCGGAGGCAAGGGCAGAGAACAGGCAATAGGTAGTAGGTAGGTATGAAGGTTTGATGCGGAACGATACTTTATGTATGCTAGGGAGGCTCCCAGGTAAGTCGGTGACGCGATGTACTACAGTTCAACAAGAGGAAAGAGGTGGTGGGAAGGCACGCGCTGTCGGCTGTATAAGTAACTGCGGTCTGTGTGTCTTTGCGACACGATGGGGACCTGAGGAGCCAACAAGCAAGAATTGCAGCATCCACCATGTACCCTAGGAGACACAGCCGACTGGTCTGGATTGGGATCGTCTGGGGTTTACCGCGCACTACACACAAGAATGGAGTCGCAGACTAGACTAGTACACGGCTCTTCAAATGCCTCAAATCGTGCTTTACAGAAAAAAAAAAAAAGAAAAGACGACTGTTGCAGAAATGACGAAGGCAGAGCTTTCACGCCTCGTCCCGTGATGGGAGTCCGATCCGATGTGGTTTCCGAGGTGGTTTATATCGAGTAATGACAATCAGTCATAAAATGGGCCATGTCAGGCGGCTTGAAAACTCTGGATGAAATATCCTTTTCCAGGGTAGGGGAGATTTAGTAATTCGTGCTCGCTTCTTTCCTGTATGGCTGGTCAGGGAATAAGAGCTTTGATTGATGATTCTAGTTTCTTCGAGGCTTCCTGTCTGTCGGCCATCTCCATCTATATCCCACCTTCCCTGGCCTCGTTCTAGCGTCTACGCCCATTTTGACCCCCGGGGATGGCCGTCAATGTCGGCAGATCAGGCAAGTCTACGAGATCGCCATTATCAACTTAGCCCTGACAGTAGTGGTCGTAGTTCAGGGCCTGGAAAGGCGAATTCGCCAGAAACATCCATCCACCAACTCGTTCTGGCGTGGCCATTGACTGGGTTTACTTTTACGTAACTCGGGATGCAGTTCAAGCGTAGTCGGAAGGCGAACTTCAAAAGACTCGTCCCCCATGATGGCCGAATGATGGCATCATGAGAGCAGTGAAAGGAAGAAGCCAGGGATTACGGCATCCTTTGAAGAGGTGATGTTATGGTTGTTGATGCTGTTGTTCTACCCCCCTCCCCCCGGACTGTCCGCTGAAGAGGCAAGCATTTCCGAACTCAATTCTAGAGAGTAGGTGAGCTGCCCCCCTGTCGCGTATGACATAAGGGTCAGGAGGTGTACCTGTCGAGCATGAAGAGGAGTTATTCCAACAAAGGTATCAATGCGACGATCAAGGCTGATGGAAAGCCATGAGGGGGAGAAATAAAAAAAAATCAAGAATAAAATGAATTGAATTGACAAAAGAGTAAGAACAATTAAAATGTCCCCCTCAAAGACGATCCGATCCCGGCAGTGGCAGGCCAATGAGAGAGCGAGTCTTTGGCAGAGCGGGGAAGAAAAGCAGCACAACTTAACCACGCGGATCGCCCTCGGGCCACCAGCAAGCCATCCCAATTCCATCACCGCCTACGCTAACTGGCGATTAGCCTGAGAACTATATCGAAACTGTCAGGCAGACAGAAACTACTCGTTCATCCTTATCACGTCTAGGGACTGTGGGAGGTCTCTGAAGAAAAGATTGACAGGGCCGCAGGTAATCAGAGCACTACCTACGGCGCATCTCGGTCAAAACCGAATCGCAGCCGAGAAGCTGAGAGACATAGCGAATGCCCCGTCGGCCATCAACCTACCCACGCTCTGCTCCAGTCTCCAGACCCATATCCTTCGGCGATGGATTCCCCCCTCACGCCGGCCAATCCGTGCGCCGCACATTCTCACGCGTCCCTGCCAACTTGCCAAGACTGGGTACGGTGCTCGGATGAAGCGGATCGTCACTCATCCTTGATCACAATCACCAGGAGTTGAAGATTTTTTCTAGCTGCTAACTGGATGGGTACTATAGTCGGAGTTTTCAGAGCTAACGGACTCCGTTGGGGGGAAGTGAGCAAAGGCGCCGGTTGTCCGTGTCAGTGTCGGTGTCCTCCGTATCAGCATCCCTACGTGTACCCATGATTCAACGATCTGAAAACCGGGGGGAATTCCCCAGAATCAACCCCTCCGGACAATCCGCCCCGTTAGACCGAGGTGGCGGGGTCAGCTGTAGCGGTTATTTCACCTTTTCTGGGGGAGGGAGAGAAAGAAACCACGATTGCTTATCTGATGACTCATACCAATGGAGAGTCTCTTGCACAATCCGTTGAACCCCAATAAAGCTAAAACAGCAAAATACTTACCCCGTAAGTGGTAGTAATCGCGCAATAGGAAGCGGGGTATCGTGGACTAGCCGCTGGCCTATCTTGCAAGGGCACCTTTGCGACGTTCTAGTGTAGTGAATACAGGGCTGGGCTGGGGCTGGACTGGGAGACTAAATGCTGTCATGGTGCGTTTGCTCCATCCAGTCCCCATTCTCCGGTGAGAGGGTGCGTGCATGACCCCGGTTCTTTCAAAGCCCGTGCTAATTTTTTTTGGGTTGATGTCTCCGCGGGCAATTTCGAGGCGGCTTCTTTTGAGGCATTATCACTCCCGTGACCTGCCTAATCGGTCTACCTTAATGTCGGACTGTCCGCTCGGAACCGCGGACCGCTCCGAGGATAGCACGTTTTGTGTTTGTTACTGACTGACGGTCTGTCTGTCTAACTGACTGTCTGATTGTCTTGAGTGTGTTCGGGCGGTCGGTCCAGCCCGTTGCGAGTTGGGTCAGGATCTCGCCACCGGTCGTGACACATTTTGAGATCTAATCGATATGTTAGTTATCAGATGCGCTGAGGATGAGGTGATTTTTTGGCGGGGCTCGGTAAGGACCAGCCGTTGTTGATTGCTTGGTGTCCCTGTGATTCGCAGGGGACAACGAGATGGTCATTCGAGATCTTGCATCCCCTTCTGCTGCGTTCTTGCGGTGGATTCAGGGGCTGGACAAGCTTTCTCCTCTCTCCTTTTTCCTTTCTCCTTACTCTCCTCCTTCTTTCATAGCCTTGAGTCTCAGTTATGCTGTCGCTGTCGCCGAGTTCATCTGGAGGGCCTGGCTTGTCGACAGATGTGTTTCAGCCAGTCCGTGGGTCTCTGATTTCGTGACGGCCGTAGCAAATCCATTCTATGAGATGCGCATGGGTTGAGATGCTGGGGTCCAAGAGAAGAGCCATGCTGCGTTGGACGCGACGCTCGAAAATGGTGGATGAGTGGACAGGGATAACGGAGTGAGCTCGAATGGACTATGACGACCCCATAACAACTAAAGGGCCCAGAATATTGAGAAGATGGTTCGGTGGAAGTATCAAATGGATGCGAGTGGATCGGAGAGCCCTAGAGCAATCATTGAGGATGGTTAGGAAGAGATCGTCTTCCGAGAAAGATTGGCAGCTACGACTCATGAAGGATAGATTGCTGGACTAGCCACTTCCATTAACGGGTCATCTGGGAACGAACAATACGTACCACACGGCTCACTAAACCTCTCTCCGCATTAATGGTCGTAAAGGCTTCTATGGGGACTTGGTAGTCGTGGTAAACCAAAAGATTCATTAAAAGTCAATCATAAATACAGCGCTGGTACATATGCCATAATTTATAGTCAAAAACACATGAAACCCTATAAAACGAAAACAACCGTGCTGGTCCAAGCCTGAACAAACCAGACGCCGTCTAGAAACGCCAGTCCCCAAAGCACGTCTAATTGCTGTCCAGGACAACGACTTCAGCTTCCGCCTCTCCGACGCTCTCCACGCTAAGCACATCTCCGGCATTCACTCCGGTGATGAAAGCGCCGTCGCCCTCTTCCAAAACCGCATTGTCGCGGAAGTCGAGTCTGATCTTCGCCTTGCCGCCCTTGGTCATGGGGAGGTGGATGTAGACATTGCGCTTCTTCTTCTTCTGGGTGACCGCATCGCCAGCGCCGACCGTCCACTGGAATGTCTTCTCGGGCTCGATGATCCCGGCCCCCATCACGAAGTCCGCATGGATGGGGATGGTCTCGGGGATCTTCGGGACTGCCGCCTCCTCTTCCGCCGCGGTAGCATCGGGACCCGCCGCGAGCGGCGACAGAATATGCACGAACCCCTGACGCTTGGCCGCCTCATCGAACGTTCTCGTGTGGTAGTTCGGCTTGAGTCCATACTTCCATGGGAGAGCCCAGATTTGAAGGAAGTGCACTGGCTTGTTGGACTCGTTCTGTTCGGAATGCGCGATACCTGTTTTATCGTTCTGGTTAGCTTATTGTAGGATAGTCTGTGTTCGGGAGATACATACCTGTACCGCCGGTCGTGAACTGTACATCACCCCGCTTCATCCGGTAGAATTGCTTGCCCTGCGCACCTTCGGCGCCCTTCTTGATCATGCTGTCGCGGTGGGTCAGCTCGCCGCTGAGGATGTAGCTGAAGATCTCGGCATCGCGGTGAGGGTGGGTCGGGAACCCGTTGCGGGCCGCGACGCGGTCCTCGTTGAGCACGCGCAGACTGCCGAACTGGTTGAACTTGTGGTCGTAGTAGTTGGCGAAGCTGAAGGTGTGGAAGGTCTTCAGCCAGCCGCCGTGTTCGGCGTAGCCGCGCTCGCTGGAGCGGCGCGCCACGATGGAGGCGTGAGCGAGAGGCTTGGACATTTCGATGGAAGTGTTGTTCGAGATAATTGCTTTGGTGATGAAGAAGATGAGAGGAGCGAGGATGATCAGTGAATAGAGGGGTGGTGAGATGAGATTGAATGTGATGTGCATTTTCAGAAACTATTCCCTCTGTCGCTGCGATCGATGATCGGCTTTATAGTTTTAGTGGGCTGCAGGTCCAGGCGGGGCGGAGATCCGTCTGTAAGCATGGGGTAAGACTGACTAAGGGCCCCTGGGCATCTTTCTCCTTCCCACAGCAATGCTGATGAAAGAATCACGGCCATTTGCGCACTGTGAGTGGCTGGAGAAATTGTGCTTTACTGAGTAAGAAGATTCTAGCCTCTGAGCTGTCAAATCCTTCCTCGTTTTATAGAGTGGTTGATAAGTTCTGGGTAATTATGCTGACGGGCATCTTTTCTGATCCACGATTTGTTAATCATCCGTAAGATCTTTGATGGAACGGCAAGTTGTCTGATTGGTCGGGTGATGTTAGCCACTGTCATCATGGATGACATAATCAGTAACCGTTTCCATCTAGAATGTTGACAACTTATAACTTCAGAATCTTGCTCCTTAACTTGTCATCATCTGGTGTGGTCTTGCTAAAGAACATTTTTTTACTAAGTAGCTCCATGTTATGTACTTGAGGTCTATCCATGTTGTTCTTAATCACCAACGAACCTATGTATAATGACCCTATCGATGTTCCCGATGCTAAGCTTGAAGACATGAAGTCGCATCTGATCAGATCTTGAGTGGTTATTGCCTGGAAATGTTGTTCTCATTTTACACTTTGAAGTATCGCTACTTTACCTTGAATGGCTCATGTAATACCTAGTTCTTTGCTTCTAGCTCCAACCTAATATGAGGTCTCAGTTTTACTGCAACCTGCATTGTAATACTCCAAAGATGCTCACTCAATTTGTCCCAGCCATGGATATTGACTGAAGAGATGAGAGATAAATCGCACTAGGGTATCAGAGATGATAATTAGAGGGCGGTACACTATGAATCTAGACGGGCTCATGGAGGCCTTACATGCAAACTGGATAGGCTTGCGTTCGGCTCTTTTGCGAGAGACTACTTAACAGCTTACCAGTGAATACATACCCGGGTGAAGATAGCTGCCTACCCGCATCGTTCACAAGGAGAGGCTTTGACTCCAGAAACGTGTCACTACATAACACACTACTTTCATTACTTCTCTCGCCTCATATCATACCTTCTCTCACCACCCCTCCACTTTTCAGTCTCGTTGTTCGCAATCCACCAACTGCTTAATCTCTCAACGTATGTAGGGCGTGTGTTCACAAGCAGGAGACAGAGATATTCAGTCAGCTAGCTATAAAGCACAAATGTCGACCTCACCAGATGAACCCGAAAGCGCAGACTGCAACGAAGAACACCTTTGCAGAGACGTTAGTGAGCCATCTTTCATACTGACACATACTGACCTAGCCTCTAGGTTACTTCCACTATACCACGGACCTCAAGTCACCATCCGGCTCGGGTCGGATGGTCCGACCTACATGTTGTCCAAAGCTCTTCTGTGCAAGAAGTCTACCTACTTTTCGAAGATGTTCGAGGGCAATTACGCCGAAGCGAGGACCTCGTTTGCTACCCTCCAAGAAGATACCATCACCTTCAAGCCGAGCTTTGAGCTCTTTATCGAATGGCTGTATCTAGGCAAGTTGACTCTGCCCGGCGAGGACCGCAGCAACCAGATCACCTGTCTCTTGAAGTTGGCTCGGTTCGCCGAAATGAGTGGCGTGGGTGAGTTGACAGACCTCGTGACTGCGAGCATAATTCAGGTCATCACGGAGTCTCCAGAAATCAGGAAGAAGCGCGGCAACCCGTTCCCAGCAAAGTATCGCGGCATCAATGTAAAGCATATTGATGTAGGGCATCTGGCGGTCGTGGAAGAATTGCCTACATGGAATGCTGTACGTCGGCTTCTGATAATGGCATTGGTGGAACCATATTTGAGGGCCCAACCATTCAAATTCTCCGAAGAGCTTGTGCTGTTTTCGGAACTTGCAGTAGATCTTCTGGCGGAGGTCAAAGAGACTATGCTTGCGGCTGTGCCGCGCTCCGGAAGAATCTGGATCACGGACCCCCTGACACAGATAGAGGTACCTTTGAAATGACTCGACATGGTGATGACACAGATGTGCTGCTTGCAACACAAGAGATGGAATCTGCCTCTACAAGCAGGAGTCCGGCTGAAGAATTAGTTATGCGTTTGCACAGAAAGATGAAAGAGGAAGGCCCCCGATTGGAAAGCATAAGTGACTTTGTCTGCAGGTGGCAAGATGGAATGCGACTACTTTCAGGAGCTCAGGAGGTAGTGATAGCAAGACAGAGTGGATAACCTAAGGTCATTTACGTCCAACACGACTGTAGATGCAACCTACAACGCCATAAAAGCTGAACTAGACCAAGGTGCACTGAACACTGGAAAAATGCATCGGACTTTTGCCGTGTTTCTCGATCTGAAGTCAGAGCATAGGCGCAAGTTGTCAACATCCTCTAATGTTTGCAGTACTTCTTTTAGCAAGGTATGCTTGCAACTGCTGACTTATTCTAGTCATCTATTACATCTGAATGGCGATCACACACTGCGTGATTATAGCAGTCATAGCTCGCTCAAACGACGTGATGGCGTCAAATGTTGCCTATTTTTCTCACTGCTTCTGCTCTCGTGTGGTTCGTTCACCTATGTTTCAAAACTTAGAATCCAACTTAGTCCACCGTCAAGTGAGTTTGATTGGATACTGGCTCTAAACAGGAAGACGAGTGCAGCCATCATAGTAGATCCGGGACGCAGGTCCCCCTAGACATAGCATACGCGCCCATCTCACGTCGCACGCTACAAAAGCATCTGCAATAGATATCTGAAGACTACAACGCTCCTCGCGCAGCGTCAAGTACGTAAGAAGCAATCCACAACGCTCCAACTCCAGCTCCAACTCTCCGCCCCCAACGCCAGTTCCCAAGAAGCCCACAGCTGTTGACAGCTTCCTCCAAGCCCACAATCCACACCACAATCCCATTGCCCCATCGAACTGGCATCCACAGCAGTCCGCACCCGCCACTCCAAACACCCATCACCATCAGTCACTCTGCAACCCAAAGCAACAAACCACCAACCAAAGCCTCCCCTCCCGACTACACCATCACCACAGGCAAAAACAAACAACCACAACACAATCCTGGATCATCAAGCCCATTCCCCGACCCTCGCAAAAGCCCACTGCACCACAAAGTAAACACCCCCCAAAACTCCCTCTCACCAAGGTAAGTAACCACCACAACTCTCCACCCATGACACCCTCACTCCTCACCGACAAAGACATACTAACGACGCCACGCCCCTCCAACACCACGTATATCTCCCTCAAAAACAACCCCACGCAAACCCCCGTTCAAAGAGACGGTGAAGCCCCAAACCCCCCTCAATCACCCAAAACACCCCCAATCCCAAACCCATCAACAATCTCATCCCAACCACCTGATACGTGAAAATCCGAGTAATCCAGACTTTTGTGGCGTAGGGCTAGAAGGGCCCGGAGCCTGCGACGTCCCACCCAACTTACCGTGCGGAAAGGTCACATGTACAGCAGAAAAAAAAATCGCTTGGTTAGCTTTGGTGCCTGCCCCCATGACAGGTCGATAATCAATATGTGAGGGATTTTTCGAGTTAGTGTTATTGTTATGGATTAGTAGTTTTATAACCCCTACCTGGGAGTTATAAAAGCCGGGGGGTCTGCCACCGGTGGCACCGTCTCCAGGCTGTGGGTTTCGGGTTCAATTCAGATTGCCAGTTGCTTGCAGGGTCTCATCCGGGTACGGATGGCCATTGGGTTGATCGATTTCGGTCCTTGGCCAGTGCTTACTTAGGTTGGATAATCTATCTACCTAGGTACTCAACAGGCTACAGGACTCATGATCATGGATCTCACTAACTACAGTGACACACTTATTGACTACTGAACAGGGAGCACGAAACACTTTGAAGATTTTTTTTTTCGATTTGATTGTCTATATCCGACTATCGTCACCAAGGGTATCGTATCGATCGGTATCATCTATGTACAGCTTTTCTTTTTTTGTTTTTGTTTGGGGGTCATAACTTTGTTTTTGTTTTCCCCTTCGCTTGATCAAGAAGGGGGTTTATGATGGTGTGGTGGTCAGTCCAACTGAATTCTAGTCCTTTTGGGATTGTTTCCAGACGGATCCAAGGTCATATGCAAAATGGCCGAATAACCAGGTGGCGAGATGGGGCCAGCGGGAAAAACGCTCTGATCAACGCTAATCATGAATCGGAAAATGTGGTGCTGGCATGATGGGTGGTGATATGAATGATGGATGATGTAAACTCGGAAGCAGGAAGCAAGAGGTAAAAGTGATGGCGGCTCAGGCTTAGTGTGCGTGGCCGGTGGTGGTGGTGTTGGTGGTGGTGGTGGTGGTGGCGTCCTCGACACAACTCTGGCTACCACGGAAGGATTTGCGACCACGGGCGAACCAGTCAACGAGGATGATGAAGATGATGACGCCGTAGACGGCGGACACATAGTTCATATCTGTGGGGAGGATTGGTTAGTGGGTTGATTGGTGACTTGATGGATGGATGGGGATGAGAGGTAACTTACTTCCAGTGTTCACCGGCATGGTGGCAGGGAACGAGTACATGACCAGACAGAACAGGGTCCAGGCCAAGGTGATGTAGTTGGCGGCCAACCCCCACTTGCCCAACCAGAAGGGACCGTGCTTGATGTTGTCGCGACCGCGGTACAGCATGCAGATTACAGGCACCGAGTACGAGATGTACAGCAGCGCGATACAGGCGGTGACCATACTGTTGAACGCAGTGGAGGAGCCGAGGTAGAGCAGACCCAGCAGGGCGACAATCAGCGAGCTCGCAAAGTGCGACCACATGGGCACGTCCAGCTTCACGTTGACGGTCGACAGCCACTGATGGCAGGGCACGCCACGATCGCGCGCGAACGCCCACGCCAGCCGCGACTGCCAGGTGTGGCAGGCAATGAGGCATCCCATACCCGTGACGATCAGGAGGGTCTCCAGCACAATGGCGCCCGCCTTGTTGCTCAACGCCTGGTAATACAACTCCAAAATGGGGACGCCCGTGGACGAGTTGAGCAGCGCGTCCAGGTCCTGGATGCTGAAGAACATGGCCACGCAGTAGAACCACGAGGTCACAAAACCGATGCCCACCGTGGCCATGATGGCGATCGGGATGTTGCGTTCCGGCTGCGGCACTTCCTCCGCCAGGTGCGTCGCCGAGTCCAGACACGCGAAGATCCAGTTGGGGTTGATCAAGCCGACAATGAACGCGATCCCGTCCGACTTCCACCCGGTCGAGTTGACGAAGTGACCAAAAACGAACGAGGCGCTGGCGTGGGGTTTGGCGCACGCGGGTACGGTCACCAAAATCACGAAGAACGAGAGCAGCGAGATGTACAGCGTGGCCTTGGCGACCGCAGGGAGAAATTTACCCCAGCAGTTGAACAGGTAACAAAAGAGGTTGATGAGCTCGTACGCTACAACGGTGTGCCAAGGTTTGGGAACACTATCATCGAGGTCAGCACTACAGAGGGCAACCGGTAGGGGGAGACAAGCATACAATGAGGGATGGCCCAGCTCCCACATGCCCACCACACCAGATCCCAGACTGAGGGCCACACTGGCACTCGCAAAGATGGCACCCGCGTAGCCGAACCAGCCGGTCACGTAGGATGCGAAACGAGCGTACTTCTTAGGAGCCAGTTGATCGGCCCAGAAGTACTGCCCACCCGCGTTGGGCATGGCACTGGCCAATTCCGAGAGGGAGGATCCCACACAGCACGAAATGAAGGTGATCCACAACAGGCCGTAAATGATGATGACCGTGCCTCCGGAGCTGATACCCGTGATCAAAGATGCAGAGATACCGAACCACGAGTTGGACATGCAGAAGGCAATTCCGACCAGGGAAAGCACCGAGAAATTGCGCTGCAAGTCCTGAGTGTAGCCCATCTCGGCCAGCTTAAGAGCGTCCGCATCTTCGGATCCGGATGCAGACTCGCTCCTAGGCATCACCTGCCCGGTGCTGGGCTTCTTCTCTAAATCGAGGTCGCTCATTGTACCAGACACTTGAAGCAATTGGGGTCAGCGTAGAATATATCAGGCACGTGATGTTGTCGCAAAGGGCAATCGCTCGAGGGGTCGGTCAACGGTTGCCGTAGCCGCAAGATGATCGCGTGGGAATGATAATTGTCCTAGAAGGAGGCTTTGATGAAGAGTCAATTCTTCCAAAACCACTGTTGCATGGGGCTTGTGAATTTCCGATAGGATCTCGGCCGAGGAAATTGCTGCGGGTGGCAAAGATTCCGTTCCTTCAAAACAGTCGCAAAGGGGGTGTCGATACCGGAAAGGCGAGACCGTGGCAAGGGCTGATGAGTTGAATCTGTCGCAGACGGATTGATTGCTTGATAGGGCTCTGATTGACGATACGGCGATACAACAAGGGAAGTTTTACAGAATTCAATCTGCGTTTTGGGTTGCGTGGTTCTCTCAAGCTATCAACAACAAAAGCGGAATGGTGGTGGTGGAGGAGAAGTAGAGAGCCAAGCCAGCGTGGAGTATCAATGCCCAAACCGTTGCTGCATAGGAAAGGGTAGTTGCAGGAAGAGGGATCCAGACGAGGTTTAAAAGTAGGGATAACGGAGGACGGGATCAAAGGAGAAGAGGATAAGGATAAGAGGAGGGGTAAAAGTGAGTAAAAAGAAGGGTCAAGGTATGAAGGCCGACGAAAGCCGTCAGAATATGGGAGACAGTTGAGTATTTAAGATCCTTGGGCGAATTTATTTTTTTTTCTTGGTTTTTTACTCTATTTTTCCTTCTCTACGACCCCATCTTAGGTTGGCTCTTTGCATGGGTTGTTGCGAGTCTGACGGAGGCTCCACCAGTCTCAATTGATGGGCAAAAGAAGGTACCCCATGCTCTCGTGCCCTCCTTGTCTGCCAATTTCTACGGGGGAGAACCTATCATGGATTCAATTATCCGGTTGGGATTCTGCGGGTTCATCTCGACTCTATCCACTTTAATTCGCTTCTGGACGTTCTCTTTCCCTCCCCTTCGTCATAGGGAGGGTCTGGATGGGTTGCACGTAGGTTTGGTCGACCACAGAAAAGTCCCTCAAGTAACACCGGGCCTGAAAGGTACAGCCAACTACGTAGCCCGAGGGTGCTCGGAAGAACTTCTGTGGCGGTGATTCTTCGATTCCGGTGGACAAGGGCTTCTTGGATTATTGTTGATTGCCTGGGAAGTCCCCAGGGATGGCTGAGCGTTGTCGTTGGCCGCGTGCAGATACAAAGAGTGGCGGTCCTCCCCACTTGGTCAGTTTTGGTGCCGACGACAGAATTTTAACTTGCCCACACCGGGTTTAGCCCACTTATACCGTGCAGACGGTGCAGGGGCGTGTGAAGTTTCCGCTTTGCCCTATTTTCTTATGCTTTCTTGGACTGTCGTCATACCGCAATGCAGCAGTCAGGATGCAATGCACGTTCGGCCCCAACAATATCAGATGCTGATTATCGCACTATCACTGTCTAATCCTGTTGGTGCATTGGTGCCAAAACCGGCCCGAGTGAGAGAGAGTAAAAAAAAAATCTCTTAAACTCCAGCAGATATGCCGATCGCTGATAACAGATGCCCTTGCCTTGAGGCTTCTATCGTATCACATGACCTTCTTATAGACATGCTACTCCGTACACCACAACCCCTTCTACCAACAACGTCATCCTCCGCATCTACCAGCGGGAACAGGCAGCCCTCAGACTCAGAGTAGGCAGAGCAGCCGCGCTACGACGTTTTGAGCGACTGAGACAGGAATTTACCGGTCTTTCTGATCCGAACCATCTCCAGCTTTTTTTCTGCTTCAGTGATCCTCGTTGGTCAGCCCGATGGAACTTAGCCTAGTTGGAAACCCGCACGGTGGATCTCATTTCACCATCCGCTTTTCATTCGCACACGAAAACTCGGAAAGGGTGAGATGCTACGAAAACCACTTTTTGACTAACGCTTTTTCACCGGTCCGCCTTTCGGAATCGAGGCATTGTTATCCGTCGGTCTGGTTTGGTTCTGCCTACAATAACGATTGTCCTTCGCGGTCAGGGCAGGCTGATTTGGAGTGACATGCAAAAAAGAAGCTCACTCTCCTGCCGGAGGACTTCTTTGCCATGTATGGATATGGACAGCAGAAGGCGAAATCTCGAATCGATATCAACATCCGGAACCTCCCCGCGCGCCCCAAGGGCAACCTTAGTCCCGTGTCGTCGTTTCTTAGTCTCTAACCAACCTGCTTGAGACAGCAATCATCTTTGCCCGTCTCGTCCGTCTCTCGCAGAAACAGTAAAATCGACTAGACTAGTTCTCTTGGGGGTTCCGCTGTCCCTGCGTGGAAAAACCGCTAGCCGATCATGGTTTTCGAAGGATCGGTGCACATCCAGGTGCCATTTAGTCCTGTTTCAACTTTTGCTCTCTAACCTCACCGCGGTTGCTACTGACGTATGTCCTTTTCTTCAGGACGGTCGAAGACAATTTACCACATAACAAACAGAGTCAAAAAAAACTGAAGTTGCTCTCTTCCCGCGCCGTGGACGAGAAATCTTCTCAATGGAATTTCCGCCTCCCCCCTCCCCCCTCCCCCCGGCCCGCGCGCCCCCTCAAACAACAAACGAAACCCATGGCTTGATCTAGCATCACCCTGGCGCGTTTTAGCATCCCGCCACAACGAAGACAAAAAAGCCGGGGCCGTAGGATATCCATTCCCCTCCTGGGGTATAGCGCAGAGATAAGCCAATTAGACTCGGAGGGCTTGTCGTCTTCTGCCGGATGGAGTAAAGACGACTGCGTAGTAAGTTAGGTTGGTTAATGGGCGTTATTATGAATGGAGCCTTAGGTTGTCTGTGAGGGCACACTCCGTAAGAGTCCTTAGTTTAGCAGACGGGGGAGATTTTTACTCGTTTGGGGGAAGGTTTGCCGGTTTTGTAGGGGAATGCATTCGTGGCTTCGCTTCGGGAGAGGCCTCTCGGAAGTCACCGTCTTTTTCCCGGTCGACTTTTTTTTGAAGGCATCCACAGCTACCATGGGATGGAGTTGTAGTAAGCGGTGTATGACAGCCCTCTTTCCGGCAAAGCTCATATACTCATACTCGTACGTACGTACGTCGCTTGCAGAGAGGATTGGGGGATCCGCTGTGCGGAACCTCGGAGCTTAGGTGATTATTCAAAACGAACCGGCTTGCGTAGGCTTTCCTTCGCATGGGGGTTGAATGTCAATCCTGTGCTAGAGTTGCTGTAGTCCGCAGGACTAGTGATAACGTTAACATCTAGTTGAGCCAAGGTCTGGGGTCTATCAATTCCAGCAGTAGCACTTTCTGGCCCTCCCGGACCCAGCGCCTACGGAGTATAGTATGTATGACATTGACATTGACATCTGATAGTCTGATAGTCTATCTGATTAACAATCGAAACGGGGTTGGCTAGATCCCTGATCGCTCGTCCGCGCCGGGGGGGGTTACAACGGGCGATCACGCACTTCTCATTCGTTGTCGGGTTTCGACCAGGATGCTTTGTCTCCTTTGGATCGTAAGATTCTGGTGGATTATTGGTTGCATGATGGTGCTTATCGACGAAGCTTATCTTGCGATGGCGACATTGACAGGGGAGGGGGAGGGGAACCGCGTGCGGAGTAGTTCGTTATCTTTTGCGGGAGGAGAGCAAGGTGCGAGTGATAAGATTGTTCCTGCACATGCATCGTGATTTCATTGGCTTGTTGGCGTCTTTTGACTTCTTTGGGCTGCAGAGGCTGGGTTTTGTGACTGGATATGGATGGGTTGTCCTGGTGGGCGGGATGGTGGCTTGGTGACTGCTCCTATTGTAGTGCTTGTTCTATTAGCAGTTTACACATTGGGTGATGGATCTTGTGGGCTTGCCACTTTTTCTGTGATAATGTATGATGCCTGTGAGATGGATCTTGAGCTTGGCTGTTGGATGGTTTACGGTATTGTCTTCGACTATTCAGTGCTCGGAGCAGATACTGTGAGACTCATGTGTGTAAGTTGCGAATCTTGAGTCCGCTTCAGGCAGAAATATATAACTCCGAGTCCTCGACAGACATACCCCCACCTTACTCCTCCCGTCGTTGTTGAATACAATTTCTAACAATGCAATGGACGAGCACCTGCTTACACGAATGATTTGGACTTACCTTGACCTTCATCAAATCGATAGCGTGATTCAATCAGCACATTAAGATAAGCAAGATATACACCGCAGCAGACAGCGGGTGGCTTGTGTGTTGCCCGATGCGACAAGTTTCTTGTTTACAACATCATCTAAACCTCGAGACAAAATGGCTGAGATCATCAAGCAATTGTGAATCATAATGAGGAGACACAGCCATCAACTGCGAAATACGCAGGGTCTCTTTGCTGCCTCTGACTCTGAGGCCATAATGCACCTTGATCGACACTCTGCATCACAATGTCAGGGATCGATCCCCAAGCGCGGGTAGCCGGCAACTAGTCAGGCACTCCCGACGCGGTCCGATCTTCCCATCCTCCATTGTTCCATGTTTCTGACGCGACGCGACGCGACTCGAAACCCCCTCGCTTATTTGTCCAGCAGCTGTTTCATGCCCGGTCTCACGGTCAACATGAATCTATCCCTGTATCAGTCCCTCGTCTGTATCTGATGCCCGACACACACATATCAGGGGTGCCGAACATCCCTGATGATCCTGACACCAGCCTCATCGGCTTCTAGAATGACACCGAACGCGATTAGCCCGATGTAGCAACGCCACATCTTTGTTGACTGCTCCAGCAACCATAGGGTCGCATGCTCAATGCGTTGCGGCTTGACTGTACATCCCGCATTTAGAATGCTCGAGACAGGTCTCGCCCCCGTCATGGAACGCCCTTGAGTGGGATGGTCGTTCTGTTCTCCCTTGGCTGGAATTAAGCTTGGGCACACACAACCATGCACATAGCCGGTTTCTTGTTACAATGCAACCTGCAAAGTGTGCAGCTGACAATGCTCATCGGCATCATGATGCCTGATGATTGGGGATCTAGTAGCCTCTGAAACATCGAATATCTCCGACCGTGCAGATGATGTGTCTTCTTGCCACTGCGACAAAAGCTAGGGACTTGCGACCATCGAGTGCCCGGGAAACCGATCCTTCAGCTGTAACAAGGGTCGGGGAATCTGAGAAAGGGTAAACTCGCCCTCAATGCCGACCGAGCATTGCCGTTTGTCTGTCTGCTGTGGAGTAGTCCGCGCCTCAGATCATGTCTTACCTCTTGGCTTCTTATTCGTGATGTGTGTCGATATCGCCAATGGCAAGATCTGGCTGCCTTTGCTCTACTGCATTGAGTTGGAACTTGTAACGTCTATTTGCGGTGAATCTCAGCTCTCCATAACGGAAACGCCTTGGCAGTTCACGGTTCATCCAGCTCGGTCACTTCTGGTTCTGGTTGGCAATTCATGGCCCGACCTTAATCTCCGCCATCCTTACAAGATCGGGATTTTCATCGTTCTTTCGTCCGTCTAATTTGCCCCCAGGCAGCCAGACGGGCAAGAGACTGCTATTTAGCCAGGATGAGAGAGGCCCTGGATTCCTAGCAACGGATCGGCGTGGTATTCCAACATTCCAACCACCCTACCGCATAGGGATCGATCGACAGGGACAGCAACACGTTACTGCTCGGGAAATGGAATGCTGTACCCAGTTTTGAGTCTCTCTTCACTGTTGCCTCGATACCGAGTCGTATCAAGTCACTTCCTGCAGCCACCTGGGTGGCGCGAGAAGCCTCAAAGCCACCCACTGTAACGGTATGCAAGGGATATTTCCTCTCCTCAGGACAGAACCTCTAAAGTGAAACATGATGTCAATGACTTTCCAGGCCGTTGGTCCCTCTGGATCTGCCGGTGGTGTGGCGGCGACGTGCTTTGTCATTGTTTTGTTGTTGTCGCTGCCTCTTTTATACTAAGCTTTGGCTGTCCACCGTCGGAATCACTGACTGCACGACCACGGAACAACCTCAACGACACCCATACTAACAACGATCAATTAGCCTCTGCCATTGATGGGCGCGACGTCCGATCCTTAGCTCCCGGTGACGCACTCAGTCAACACCATTCTCCTCTTACCTCAACCCACGCTTTCGTGCTTTCGACCCACCACTTACACTGAATAACCAGCGGATGATGCACCAAAAGATGAAACTCGATGTTGCTATAGTGACTTATTTGGCAATATTCACCGATGTTGCGAACGCTTTCTGGCGTCTGCCTTGTCGCGGACGAAGCGGTGTGGCTCGGATTGATCCCATAATGGCACCAGGGATCCCATCGGATCATGTACACGCGGTTCATGGATCGGGCGGTCAGTTCTCTTGCATCATCTGTAGCTCATCAGCATGGTCGCTGAGTTTTTCCCGATAGGATTCTCGATGTCCGCCAACGAGGCAAGTCTGAAGCAGTCGGGCTGTACGTCTTGCGCAGTGACCGAAGACAAGTCAGCATACTGGGCGCCCGCGTTGTATTTCGTGCATCAAAATGGCGATGCTGAGCTTGTCAACGAAGTCGGCGGAATGCTTGCGTTAGTTGCCCAGCTTCCGATTGTTGCCGATTTGTGTTGGTGCTGACGAAAACAGCTATTACCTTCTCAACGGCGAAAATGTGATGGCGTTCCCTGAAAACTTCCGCATGATGGCAGGAGATACATACCTGCGCGACTTCCCCTGGCCGATACCGGATCCCCCGCAGTCAGAGTGGTCTGGAAATGATCTAAAACAGGAGGCTCTTCGTCAAAAAGCTGTCGGATTCAACTGTCTGAATTACCAAAAGGACCCCGAACCCTCTCTGGGTCGTCATTTCTTGCCAAATAAGACATATTTGGATGAGCACTGCACTGAGGGCGTTCGGTTTGAATTGATGTTTCCATCCTGCTGGAATGGGAAGGATATCGACACACCGGATCACAAGTCTCACCTGGCCTATCCGTCTCTGGTGATGGACGGGGAATGCCCAAAGGGTTTCGAGCATCGTCTTGTTTCACTCTTCTATGAAAGTATCTGGGATACATACGCGTTCAAAAGCAAAAAAGGCAATTTTGTGCTCGCAAATGGAGATCCCACGGGATACGGCTACCACGGTGATTTCATGTATGGCTGGGACTCACAGGTGCTCCAGCAGGCAGTGAATACATGCACAAACATGTCTGGAGAAGTGACGGACTGCCCCGTTTTTACGCTTCAGAGTGACGAGAAACAGGATGAGTGCCGCTTCTCCGTTCCGGATGCTCTGAAGAGTGAAGACGTGAACTACCACAAAGGTGGTCTCCCGAACAACGTCGCCATCCAAAGCGGACCTGCCTATGCTAGCCCAGTCAGATACACCACCACCACTACCACCGGCGCTGGTGGCCACGGGAGACCAACGCCCGTCTACTTGGATGATCTGCCCACCGTCGGAATTGGTATTGATCTTGGGTTTTTGTCGGCCGGTCTGCATGTGGCACTGCCTACACTAACTACTTCGTCCACGACCACGACGGCGAAGGCCTGGGAGCCGACTGCTCCCCCGGTTGCAGAGGGTCCTCCTGCCCGTCCGATCACCTCCTCGAAAACCAGCGCACACACGACTTTTGCTGCACCGTTCACCGCGGCTACTTCAGTGACTTCTGTTGCGCAACCGTCAATCCCAAGTGCGTCGGTCGTATCGGAATTCTCCAGTGTAACTATCAGGCCGTCACTCTCGGCTTCGTCGTCGGCATTGTCTGTGCTTTCGACTATGGCGACGAAGTCTTCGGTCCTGCTTGCATCCGTTCCGGCTTCGTCGTCGGCGGTGTTGGCCAAACCGGTAGTTGCGCCTCCCGCAGCCTCGACTGGTCTAACGCCAACAACTCCTCAACCTTCACTTGCTGTGTCTTCAATGTTGACCTCGTCATCTATCGACGCAACATCTTCCTCGATTCCCTCGGCTCCATCACACTTGTTCGCGGTGTCATCTCCGGCTCTGGCCTCTCCATCCGCCGCCGTCCAGTCTTCGGTCTTGATTCCTCCGGCATCTAATCAAGCCCCTATCGCGTTCACCATTTCGTCTACGTCTTTGGTTTCTCCCCCGCCAGCGTCTTTCATTGCCACTCCGAGATCCTCAGTAATGGGCCTTCCTTTCTCATTCGCTGCCTCCGGTGGAGCCTCATCATCGGTACCTCTTTTTAACACCGCGAATACAACCGTGCCAACCACTCAGACCATTATGTCTGCAGCATTTATCGCTTCTCCGACCTCGCCGTCGACGGACAGCATCGTAACACCTTCGACATCGGCCAAATCTTCAGCAACAAGCACCCCACTGATCAAGACTGCCTCGCCGGTGCCAAGCACCCTCGCTGTAGCAGCCAAACCTCCGGTGTTGACCACTCCTTCGTCCACGAGCGCCCCATTAATCAAGACGACTACTCAACTGCCGAGCGCATCTGAAATCGCCCCCAAGCCAAGCGTGATCGCTCCTACCAACAGCTCACTCGCCAAGGCCCCCGCAACAGGATCCAGTACCTTTGCGGTAGTCGCTAAGCCCGCGGCGACGACGACTTCGTCAGCGACCAGCGTCCCACTAATCAAGTCCATCCTCTCCAGCACAACTCCAATAGCCAAGCCGAACGTGGCTACTCATACCACCAGTACGGCATTGATCAAAACCACCGTTTCAGCCTCGAGCACGCTTGCCATGATCCCCAGACCCGCCGTCTCTCCGCAAACAGAACCCTCCAGCTCGTTGGAAGATTCCTTTGCAATCGCCGACTGGGAGGTAATCACGACGTGGTCGCCGCCGTCTAGCACCTCGTCTGCCGAACCGGCTTCGTCCACAACAATCGTCTACGTCGAACAAGCAATTATTGTCCTTGTGGATGATCAAGGCGTCCCGATCGAGACGCAGACTGGCTCTTTGGAAACCATCTCGAAGACCACGACCACTCCCAGTGGCGGCGCTACGTCCAGCCGACCCCCTTCGAAGCGCGGTTGGTATCATAACCATCCCCACAGGCATTACCGCCACGGACATTCCCATTGATTGGAGTTGTGGGGCGGGGCGGTTCTTGTGACTTTGTTTTCTTTTCGGATATACTTATTTGCTTCTTTCTTCAAATGTCTCTGCGATGGTCCAGGCACCGTCGGATTTACGATGTACATGTTAGACACCTTAGCTTCCTATCCTCGAAGGATCGGTTGGACTAGAACTGTCGCTGTCTCTGGGAGAAACGCGCAGTTGAATTCTGTGGAATATATTGAAAGAATAAAGCTTAGTGGACGGGATTCCCGTCGCAGCTATGTTATCTGCTGCGAAGACTTTGCCAATTGTCAATGTATTCTTTTTTTGCCTCAAATCGTAACAGCCAAGTCTCAACCTACAGGATAAGCCTCGAGGTGAGATAATCTCTTAAATAACGTAAAACTACCGACTCGTCTGACCACTCGAACCTGTGCCGCTTCTGATCCCTCCTAAGCAGCCCCCTGTCGCTCGAACCCTTCTTCAACGGTAAGTATAAGATTATGCCCTCGAAGCAAGCCCCATAGAGAGGCAGGTATCCTGATGAGAGCCTTTCCTAGTGATTAGTCCCGTGCAGACTAGAGCTATTAGTCCTAGCAGGCCAGCCAGATGGGGAGTATTGGGTGAGAGACCGGCATAATCAAAGTTGTTGCCAGAAAACAAACCTGTCACCACCACCCATGCGACGCAGATATGTCCAGATCGCCTTGACGGTGGACTCAGTCAGGTGGTCGTTGGCCCGTTGGCCGCCCTCCCCCCGGGTGACTTCCAGAGCTTGGCGTTTGTCCCCATGCAGGTGCGCGTACCGGGGCATCGCGTCGTCGACGTCGTGCTGTTGCTCGATGGCAGCACTCCAACAGCTCACGAAATGCATCGCCGTCAGTCCATCCTCGGATCCCTCGCTCATCAAGAGCCCATTGCATGGCCCAGATACGCTTCCCAGCAATCGCGGACGTGTTCATGGTCACAGCAGGGCGTGATGCTCAGCGAGCCCGAATACCTGAGTGAATGAAGGAATAAGAAGAAGAGCTACTACTACCACTTCTGAGGTCGAAAGAACTTCGACAGAGATAGAGAAAGATGGACGGAGAAGGTAACCATAGGAAAGGGCTATGAAGTTCGAGAAACATGGGAAGTGGAAGATCGACGGTTCCTCAGCAAGCCACATTAGAGGCGAGAGAGTAGGGCGAAGAGAACAGTACTAAGTAAGCTCTTGATAGATCGGGAAATCGCACGTGACGAACCAAGCCACCAACCTGCGGTCATCCTTACTGGTTCTATTCAGACTGCAATACCCTGATACTCAGTTCATCTTCCAGGACGCCAATTAGGATCGGAATAGATGCTATCCACCACCCCCCTCTCCCTTCGATCCTCTCCCCCAGTCCAACCAACCCCTCACCGACAGACCCCCGTAGCAGCCCCCTCATTTTGCTAGACAACATGCCAAGCAAGTCAGCCAGTCTTTCACCAAGCACGCTGTGCTGTACATCTCCGCAGACGCGGACTCATCGAAGACGAAAGTAGAAGAAAGACTCACCATGCAGAAGTTACTCTGGCAGACACCCATACTTCCGTCCTTGTTGCAGGTTGCGCCGTTGGGTAGCTGGATCGATATTAGCTTCTAGGATTGGGGGGG